TGAAGGCCTACATTCTTGCTTTTTTAGCTGTATCCCAGTGCTCACTGTTTGCTACTGAGCTGTGTTTAGCAGCTATAAAGTGTTACAGGGTTCAGGGAAGAACAACATGAAAGACTCCCAAAAGAAAAGGGGAGAAGTATTTGAAGAAAACAAATACATTTTAAAAATCAACAACAACAATAAACAAGTGAACAAACGAGGACCCAAACTGCCTGTTCCTTGTGAGTATGGATAAACAGTGTCTAAACTGAAACACAGAGGCTTCCTCCTGTCTCCCATTTGCTGTATGAGTGATGCTGGAGAGAATACTCCTTAAAGAATTTCTCAAGTTGCCATACACCTTCATTTATACCCCATTTGCCCTAAAAACCACTGATAAAAGACTGATCAGGTGTGGACTGTGCAAGTCTGTGTCTGCTGGGTAGGTGTCAGCCCACCTGCTGCTACAGCAGCCCGCCAACAACGTGAAATGGGTGGCTAATGGAGCTTTTTGGTGCTGCTCCAGTAGCTGTTACTGACACTACACTAAAGGCGGTTGGGTCTCACTGTGCTGGGACTGTGTGAATGTGTATCAGCACTGGCACTTGTGTGAAAGACCTTCTGTCCTAACAGCAGATGTGTTGGCCATTGCCACAGGGGACATAAGTAGATCGATACTGGGTTTATTTTTATAGGTAAAAGTCTTAATAACAGGACAGAATTAGCACTGTGATGTGAGCTACTTCAGAAACATTTTATTCTTTTACTGTTAAAGTATTATGAATATCACAAGGAATTTGATGAAACAGTGTATTTCACATTAGGATAGAGAGCATTTTTAGTCACTAGTAGCCACTAATGGATATTAAACAACACTTACTGGAGATACATGTTTTTTAACCAACGAATCTCAGTGTGATGAGTCTGGCTTTGAGTTCTGGAAGAGACAGTGGGGAAAAATTCTCGTTCACAGGTTTTCATTTTTAATACGTTCCTTGAGACTGGAAGAAAGTTGGTGTTCTGCCCAGATTCAGAGTAGACAAGCAGATTGAGCAGGGTAAATATAGCCTGATATAAATCATGGTGAGCATATGGAAAAAGCTGATTGAGGATTCAGCTGATAGGGAATTAAAGGCCATGAGTAAAATTAATTCTACTCAACATAGTTTTATGGAAAGTAGGGCTTGTAAAACAAATAGTTTATGAAAACCTGATTTTAATCTTTTAATATTTGATAAAATTACAAGTTTGGTAAGATGATGCTGTTGATGTAACAGACAGTGAAAGGCATTTTACTTGTTGCCATGTGAAACTGATTAGTAAATACAGAAATTTAACTATATAATAAAATGGACCAGACTTGAATGATCAGCAAACTAGTTAGATGGTCTTAATATGGAACTGTCACTAAAAAAGCATCAATGACTATGAGGTTTTCTCTTAGGGTTCTCATGAGGAGCAATGCAAAGGCCAGTGAGATTTAACATTCTGTCTGCTGACTCTATCAGTTGTAATTCTACATGTTGAGATTAGCAGGTGGTCTGAAGGTTGGCAGAACAGCAATAACCCTGAAGACAAGACAATCATTAAGGCAGATTGAGATGACTGAGTGAGACAGATTTTTGTTTCTAAATACTGTGAGATGCAAATAATCCATCTAAGAAGGAAGCTAACAGGCCATGTGTTTCTGACCTAAAATGTCCAGATCTGTGAGTCACAGCAAAAAGATCACTGGCACCAAAATGTGTTTGGTGATGTTGCCAAATGTTCTACCTCAGGTTCATGGGCACTTTCTCTCCTTCAGTCATTGCCTGTCTGCAGCTTATTCGTGAGAAGTGACCATATCATTTTTGAAATAAAAAACAAAAACCAGAAAGCAGGGAAAAATTAGATATCTTACACTTGATCCTCCTTCTGAAGCTGTCCCATTGAGATCCAACGTTACACTTAATGATGAAATATTAATATACTTTATATTTTCATACTGACCTTGGCTCCTGTTTTCTATACTATAGCTTCAACCTTTAGTCCATGCTATCAGCACCTCAGCATGAGGAATAGAAGATATAGCAAGTGATATTTTATTGTGTGCATAAGAAGTGTGTAAGCATAGAGAATTTAGTTTTGTGCAAATCAGTCAAAATCTATGTGTTTTCCTATAAAAAGGGTAGGACAACATGTCTGACTTTTATGAGAGTTGTTAGATAAATCAGCTGGAGGAGAAGGCAATCTGCTATATAAATATTTCAGGTTTTGAAATTGAAGCATTTACATTGATCTGCATTTAGAGGCCTGGCCTATTTTGTGGTGGATAATATTATGTCAAAACAGTGTTTAATTCCAGTCAGCAGCTGTTGCATTCATACTAAATTATGTCAGATTTAATTATGAATGCATTCAACAAGAGCATGCAATTGTGCTGACAAACCTAAAATCATTTTCAGTTGAATATGTCCTATCACAAGTCATCTGGGCATGTTTTCTCTCTGTAGTGACAAGTCAGTGTTCACGCTCAGCTTTGTAATTCCTGCTACCTGTTGAATTCCCATATCACATCCAAACATCACAGCAGCAAACTCAATAGATACCTTACAGGAACAATGCAATAGCAGCAGTAGATGATGGGGGGCATTTTCTCAAGGGTATTATTTCCACAATCACTTTAATTGCACGTACCCAATACACTGCTTGTGTATTCATTTGTACTTGCTCAAAGGGAACGCAATTTAATTCTGAAATATCTCAAATTACTGCAATGCTCCCTTTGCACAATGAAAGAACAAGACCGTAAAGTGGATAATTAGATTCTCAGAGTTTCCTAAAGAGAATGAAATTTTGCTTGGGGAAGTAGAAGTCTCAGTTCACTTGCAAAATAGTTCAAAGTCCTTTAAATCCTTGAGGTCAGATACCTTGTGCAGAGAGAATGGCTTGTAAAAACATACAGAGTTAAGAGTTGAACTTGCATTGATGAAATGAGGAGATTCAGTAAAGATCAGGAGAGCAGTTTGTGGAAACCTAGTCCCTATGAAGAAGAGCAGACAGCTGTAGTCGGTCAAGCCAACCAGCTTGCTTAGGTGCTATCAGTGGAATGGAAGAAACATTTCTCCCCTTTCCTGGTCCAAACATTCAGCATTTTGAAGTGCTTATTTAAAATGCGAAAGAGTTCTGTTTATTTTTCTAGGAGAGTCTGTATCCATTTGTCATGGTTCTCTGCAGTGCACTATAATCACCTATTAGGTATTTTGGAGTTAGGCTGGCCACCTTGTCTATGCTGTTCCATTTTGTATATGTATGCAAGTGTTAGAACTCAGGTGTTCTCTCTTCTGATGAGTTTTGTAATTACCATATCTACCATGACGAGTACATAGTTGTTTCAGTATGATATGCAGCAGTGTAGATAGCTTTGAATATAAAGAAACAATTTGCTGTCTCACACGCTGCTCTGTTCAGTAGAAGTTTAACCTGCTGGGATATTTTGATTGTAAAACAAGCACTCATAGTACAGCCAGTGACAGTAAGAATCAGTCTGATGAGCTTGGTGCAGGTTGAGAGGTTGTCCTCTACTCCTCAGTGCTGGTTTCCATTTCCAGCCTCTGATCAGAAGACTACAAAAAGAAAGCCATCTAACAGCAGCAATTAAGAGTCATTTTTTTTTTCTGTGAACTGAAGATTAACGCAAATCTTTAACATAGACTACTTTAGGTGACTTCAGAAAGCACAAATTATCTCTATATAGTATTTCTTAAGGCAGCTGCTTCTCTGCAACTTTTACTCATTGTAGATGTGGTAACGTGTTTTCCATTTGTATGCATAGTTGGGAAATGGTCTCTATGAGGTAAATTCACGCTGATCACTATGAAATTTCTGGTCACTCTGGCATCTGGAAAATACTTTCTCAGATGATGTCTGATTTTTGAGAATCAACATTTGGATTTCTAAAGCTATATTCTTACAGCTCTTTGTAGGTCAGCAGTGATGATGAGAGTCACCAGCAGCTACCTTTTAATACTTATTTAATAATTATTATATATAATAATAATAATATATATTAACAATACATATTATATAGCATATATAATATAATATATAAAATAATATATAATATTATATGTTAATAATATATCATTATATATTATTAATAAATATTATTAAATAAATACTTATTTAATAATTATTCTAAGTTATGGTATGGTGCTGGATGCAATGAAAATGAGAAGGGAATCAGAATCTTTCTTCTACCTTGGTTTAATGTGATTGTTCAAGCTTTTTTATAAAAGAAAAACCTAGACTACTTCAAAGAACAGATTTCCCTTGAGTTTTGTTTCTGCCACCTCTTTACATAGTAAAGGAGAAACATTCATAATGTATTGCTGGTTGATTAGATTTTGGTATTCAGACTAGATATAATGAAGTACCTACTTTAATGTTATCTGTTTTGACAGGAATAAAAGCCTAAGTTCCTATACAGTAGGTAAACAATCTCTTCAGCATGGAAATCCAGAAAGTCTTCTGTGTTCAGACTACAGCTGTCTATTAGAAACACTTCAAAAGCAAAGAAGCTGTCAAACTAAAATCTTCAGGTAGATCCCACAGCTTATGCAGCAAATTTGTGGTCAGATGCGTTCTCACTGGGACAGTTGCCTAAAATAACTTTCCAAGACTTATGCAGGGTATTTGAAAGGGACTAGGTGGGTATTCAGAGTTCTAATCTCCTAAAGCTACATCAGATTACTATGTTCTATAGTATGTGCTGTTTTTACCTAGGACTGATGATTTATCCTTCTTAGAAACCTCATTTGCATTTCCATTCAACAAATTTGTAGATGTTCACTAAGTTATTTAGGAGTTGCTGCAAGTATTAAGATGTAGGTGTCCTAAGAACTTCTGGATCTTGACTTCAGTAGAGTACATGGTGTAATCATCCCTGGATATTATAAGTATACTGCTTATATTTAATAATATAATTGACATGAGATAATTCTACTGTATTTACACGTTGATATTGTCTCTTTATCTACCAGGTTTCTTGTCTATATTTACATTACTATTCCAAGCTACCTAATCTAATGAAGTTGGACTTCATTCATCAAGTGTGATTTACTCAATAGAGCCTAAAATCATGATGAAAAAGAAGAGCATATCTGCAAGCAAAGCTTCCTTGATTTTCTTTCTGTGCCAAATGATTTCTGCATTGGATGTACCTCTTGATTGTAAGTATTAGCTTTTTAAATAAGTGCAGAAAATTAGAGAAAAAAGTTCTGTATAGGAGGATGAAGACAGCTCCAACATGGAACTAAACATGTAGTGTGTTTGCTCAGTTCAGTCAGGACACTGTGACGATGAATGTTTACATGAATTTACTGAAAATTTTCAAAAACTGTCTATATAAAATGTCTTACATTATTCACTTGAGAAAGGTTACACAAATACACCAAAATTTAATTCATCTTTATTATATAGGCACACCAAATAATTTATAACGATAGATAGCATTACATATATGATATCTATATCATTAGTTATTAAACTGATCAAAATGAAGAAGGGCAGACAAGGCTAGTTAAATGCTATTTATCTGTGAAATGATGATCGTATTGGCAATTTCAGTTCACCTGAAATGGGGGTGCAAAGATGGAGCCAGGCTCTTGTCAGTGGTGCTTGGTACCAGGATAGGAGGCAATGGGCACAAACAGGAATGCAGGAGATTCCTTCTGAACACCAGGCAGCACTGCTGTGCTGTGCAGTGACAGAGCACTGGCACAGGCTGCCCAGAGGCTGTGGAGTGCCTGCCTTGGAGACCTTCTGCAGTCACCAGGACTTGGGCCTGGGCATCCTGCTCTGGGTGTCCCTGCTGAGCAGGGTGGTCCAGATTGACCCAGAAGGCCTTTCCAACCTCAACCATTCTGTGATTCTGTGTGAATTTGTTAAAAACCCTGGAGCTGATTTGATATCCAGTAAAATCTTCAAATACTCACATTGTGGGAGCATCTTTCTTTTTGATCCAGAAGAGTAAGTTAGTTCTCTTAGATTTTCTAGGCAGTATCTGAAAAAAACTTGATGATAAAAGCTTATGTGATGAGAAGGAGGGGATAATCAGTTAGGAAGCATCTAGAAAGGAGGAAATCCTAAGATCTGAAATTCTTATGTCTTATTCTGGACTGTGTTAGTGGGGAACCAGGCCTTAGAAGTAATGCTCCATTCTGAAAAGGAAGCAATTGTAGCTTCTGTCTTAAAGCTGTCATAGTTAATTCTATGAATTTATTCATGCTCCAGGTTGTTATTTTCTTCTTATTATAAGCATGATCACATTTTCAGAATTCAGTGAACCATGTTGCACCTCACATTGGCTATTAATTTGTTAAACTAATTACCAGATAAGAGAACATCAGGGTTGGCATTAAATTGATGAATTAATACATCAGTAAATTCACCTATGATTCTAATCCTCATGGCTTTCTTGATACCCGTGGTTTTGACACTTGCCTACCTTCCATAAATACATGTTTTTCTTTAATAATCATTGACATCAAGTGCAACTGCTTTGGTGCAATTTTCCACCTCCAAACATATTTCCAAGCCTCTCAAATCAATGACCTTTATTTCTGTAACACGATCAATATATCTAAATGACAAGAGACTTGTAGTGCTGTGAATGCCTTTAGTGCATTAAATTGAGGTTTATAGAGAGCCTTAACAGTGTGATGAACAAAAGACTTTGTTTTCTAAATGTAATTTTTCTCCACAGACGTTTTTGCAGTCTAGACATATTGTTTTAACATCTTGTAGTTTAGAAACTAATGTAAATTGTGCACCATTCTAATATTTTTTGTGCAGAGCAGCACTTCAAGTTAAATTAACCAGAAATGCATCAACAGACAAAAATGAATAGCTGTTTTCGATGTATTACATTAACTCTCAATTAACATGTTCCATACTGTTTAACATTTAATTCTGTGTTTAATACTGTATTTAGATCTGATAAAGTCAAAGACTTGAAATTTTGCCAAAAATTAGGCTAACCAAAAGTGTCTACAATTATATTATTATTTCATGTATAATGGTTAGAATAGTATTTGGGAGAGCACTAAAAGGACTGTGTTCTTCTTTCTGTGGGTCTTTCCCACAAATCCACTGCAGAGACCCAGTGGTAAGATCATACTTGATTAGCTGATTAGGTTTCATTCATGTTAGGTTCTTATGCTCTTCACTGTCTCAAAGTAGATAATGGATGACTGATAGTGTAGCTGTTCAAAAGCAATTTATTTGCTCTAAAACATTATTGATGAGGAGATATATATGCAAAATATTTGAAATAAGCAATAAAGATGTGGCAACCAAGACAATTTATTCCCCTTAGTTATTTTTCAAACTAAAAGAGATAGCATGTCTGTTGAGTAAAATTAAATGCTTTCGTCTTTGTAAGAGTAATTTTAGCCTGAAGCTTTCTCTTTGTTCTTCTATATGGTCATATGGGTAGATTGATTTTGACTGCAGCATGAGGGCAATGCACTCCATTAATTCTAATTTGCTGTCTCCTCAGTACCAACGTTTTGTGTCCTTGTAAAGCCAAAATCTCAATATTGTGGTTGCCCTTAAAAGTCAGCAATTTGGAAAAGTTCCTCGTGAACTTTCTGATGCAGTGGAAATTGCCACTGGAAGTTGAGGACCAGGTTACATCATCACCACTGTTACAATACTAAATGTTTTCTTTTTAATGGTGACCAATTTACTTGTCTGAGATGCTTGTCTTCCCTCTCAAAAATTCTGATTTTCTTTTTACTAACAAATGTTTCTCTTCAATCTCCATTTGTCCATTCATCTGCTGATTCTGATGGGGGAATAAAAGCAAAACTTCTAGAAGAATGTAAGTTCCTGTCCACAAAAACTAGACTGTGTGGTGATGAAAATTAATACTGACAGTGTTGCAAATTGAGTATGCAGTCCAAAATGTGTGATTCTGACATTTTGCTCCTAATTTTGTTTGCTGTAGCTAGATGCTTTCTGCATGCAGTGTTCAATAAATGCTACTTTATATAAATCCTTCTTTTATTTTGAACAAATGGATTGTATGATTTTTGACTGTATGCTATCTGAACATTAAAATTATAAATATCAGCATGAGCAATGTTTTAATACTACTTTCAGGAGTAAATATAGTTGATAAAAGAATAAAGTCATTGGAATATAGCATATGTATATTAAATGTCTGAGTTGGAGATATTATGTCCTTAAAAAACAGAATATACAGTTTTGTTGGTAAGCCAAATCCTCTGTAGGATGTTCTAATGCAGCTTTAGTGTCCCGGTCAATTTAGTGAGTTTTAAGTTCAGTTCATAGCAGGGCTGCCTTCAGGTCTTTTATGTGCATCAGGTGGAACATACCATATGTGATACGACATGGTTGCTCATGTCATGTTCCATTTCAGAGTATTCTTGCTTTTCCCACAGAAGCAACTGATTTGTAATGACTCGTGAACTGACTTTGTGAGGGAAAAGGGCTATCTTCACTGCCTCCTTAAGAGGGAAAAGGGCTATCTTCACTGCCTCTCTAAGTATACAAAAACTCATCATCAATTAACAACATTGCCATCATTATTTAATCACACTTCTCCTCTGCAGTGAGGAAGAAGAGCAAAACCTAGCTATGCATGTCCTGTTCTTTCCTGCTTAGCTGTTACATCTCGTTATGATGTATGCCATGATCTGAATTTTCTTTCTGGCTATTTCTTGTGGCAGTGCTTTACAGACCACTATCTCTTTCTTCAGAATTTTTTCTCCGTGTATAATTGTAGGGAAGATTTAAAATAGAAGTCCCAGATTTACAATTTTAACTAGCTAGAATTGGGTATGAGGACAGAGATAACTCTAATGATTGAAATACTTTGACTAGAAATGACCCCAAAGCACTAGCAGAATGTATTACTGGACAATTTGCTAAAATTTGCACAGGGAAGTTAGCAAGGATGTTATTCAGCTGTTTCCTTTAGTTGACACTACTCTATAAACAGATTGATAATGCTGAGGAAGTCACATTTCTCACTATTTTAATATCACAACCAGCATTTATCTATGAAAAATGCACGTAATTAATAGATAATAAATTACTTTAAATAGGTAGGCATCATCCACTTTGTCAAACAAATAGATTCTGCTTTATGTCACTAATTTTGAAATTATCCATAAATCATAAGTACTAAAAATTTGGTTCTCTTGGGGCAATTCATGAGATTGACTACATTTTTATTATTTTTATTTTAGAAGCACTAGACTTTTTCTTCATGTTTACTCTATTTGGAAACTCTTAGGTTCTATTTTTGACATCCTTTATGAACTGTTTTATTTCTAACATTTTTTACTCCTGAAAAGTAGTTCCTCAAAGCATGCTTTGTAGATTAATTCAATTTGTTGAACACGATAAATCTGTGAAAAGTTTACAACCATAGGGGATATACAAATATATCAAATATTTAAAAAAGCAAAAGCAATATAGAGATTTTTTTCTCCTCCTGTGCGTTAAAAAATGTTTTATGTGGATTTATATCTCAGAACTGTTTGTTTGGGATGTCTTGGACTTAGAATTCAAGTGTCCATTAACTTCATGAAGATCTGTTGAAATCTGATGTGTAGAAATCCATGAAGCTTCTTGTCTGAGATTCTCCTCCCCTGTAAAGTGATATAGATCAACTGGAAGTTAATAGCAACACTAGTCTATAGGAGGAGAAGGTATCAGCCTCCAAATACGAAGGATACTTTAATCCAGTGCTTTTGTTGATGATTTTGCTACTTGTAGTTTTGCTTTCTCCAAAATCTCACAAATCTGTCTTGCTGATTATTTGAAGATATTGTTAAATTCCTCTCTGTTTCTTATATTCCACAATGAAGTGTCTCAACCTCCAACGATAACTCAGCAGTCTCCAAAAGATTACATTGTTGACCCTCGAGAGAATATTGTAATACAATGTGAAGCAAAAGGAAAACCACCTCCTAGGTTAGTAGTGACTTATTTTGATTACTATGCATGTACCCCCACCTCAGTAATTTATATAGCTGGCAGAAAGTGGCATGTATTTGACTATTCTTATCCTTGAGATTTAAACTTTTCTGTAGACATCAAGTAACTGTAGTGTGTTTGGTTTTTTTCACCTCAGAGCTCTAACAAAAACAAAATAATACTAGATTTTTAAAGGAGCAGGTAGGTAAATGCCTACGGAAAAGGCATGCCATACTATATGATGGAACCCATTCCTGATTCAGGCAGAGCGTCTAAGAAGAATCCACACTGAATAAATGCAGAGTGAATTCAAAGTTAATGTTTTCTAAAACACTCAGTTTTATGAAGTTCATCTTGAAATACATACATATTTTATCATAATTTGATTATTATGTATCTATTATCTAAATTATAAGGCCTTCATTAACCAGGTGTATTTCATAACCTTGAGTTACATGCTTAGCAAAAACAGCAATGCTGTGTTCAGATCAGATTCCTGATCATATTCCATGTTAATATTTGGCATCAGTATTTGAAATTAGGAGCTTCCGCTCCTAATATATGCTGAATACCTCCACTGGAAGCAGCAGAAGCAGTGATGTATTCTATCATTACTAGTAACTGCTTCTGATTTCTGGGTCACTAAATGGAAGTATGCATCTCTGCGTTCTTAGTAGTTTTACACTACAATTTATTCACAAGGTTAACCTATAATTGCTTCTCAGATGCACACTGGGCTCATTAGATGTACTTCATGTGAATAACCAGGGTTTTTCTACATTATTCTTTCTGGTTGCTTTCACACCATAGTCATTATACTGGGTGGCAAAATGGCAAAGAATTGTATTTTCTGTGATAGTTTCACCCTTCGTATTGTTCTGTTAATGGCAGGAATGCTATATTGCTGCTGTTTTTACAAGTATTTTAGATTAGCTGGCATCTCAAGACTCTGAGCGTTGACCTGGAGGACAGGATGATTACTGTATGTTTTGAGACATCTGTACCACTTCTGCAGATGCCTCTTTTGAGTATCTTTTTTGGGTTGGATCTACCAAAGAAGCTAAAAGCACAGTCCATGAGACTGAATATATCAGAGTGCTATTCCAGGGCTCTCTGCTGTACAGCTTCACCTTTCCCATCAAATCTGTGACTGTTGTTCTCCTGTGACAGAAGAAAGAGCAAGATTTAAGTGCAGGCTTTTCTAATGGAGAAAAATAAGTTGTTCTTAGTTCTGCAGATTTAAAAAACATGAGATAGCCAAATAAATTTGTCCAGTAACCAACCTGATCCATTGGTCTTGAATCTGGTTCTGCACATGCATACTTTAATTTTAACTGCTTCAAAGCTCTGAAGATCAGCTTTCTCAGCCAGTGAATTGTTTTGTTAATCCACAGTGACTTCTTATTAGTGAGAGTTGGCACAAAGATTGGTGGATATGCTGCTACCTTTTGCTTGAGCAGGAAAGATTCTGATTTTTATGTACCTGAACTTCAGGGGTATGCCATCTCTCATGTGAAGCTGTGTTACAGTTCCCACGCTCCTCAGTGTGCTGGTAGCTGGAGACTACAGACACTCTGCATTCTGCAGCTTTACCTGCAGAGCCCTGAGAATCAGGTTCACTTTTCATTCACTGTGCACCCAGGTCCTCCCCTAAACACTGCATAGATGTAAAAAGTATGAGAACTGTCATTTGCAGTATTCAAAACTGAGTGCTCAAAACTTTGCAGGCGTTGGTCTGGTTCTGTGTAACCATACTTGTGACCATTAGCAAATCTTAATTAAAAATTAAAAACCTTAATTAAAAATTAAAGAAATGTAAGTTGCATGCTGTGAATCTTTGCTTTTTACAGTTTCTTAAATGAGTTCTAATAGTCTTCTAATAGTCTTTTCAAAGCATCTTCTGTTTTGAGTAACACCAATATAAACCAAATTAATTATGGACTACCACGCTGCAAAATTTCATTTAATAAATGACACTTTTTCGTGTTAGAATAGTGAAAAGGAACCAAACTTACTACAATCTTTAATTCACACGCTGAACTTTAAAAGGGCCAAACCAATTAAGAGAAACGGTTTCCTGCTGGGCCCTGAGATGACACATTTCAGCCCAGAGCCAGCTTTTAAAGGCAGGTTTATAAAACCTTTCAACAATAGCTTTTAAAATGGAAATGCTAATGCTGCTTTAGCAGTATCAGTTCTAGCAGATGCTACTGTATCATCTTTAGTAGAAAAGAAATCAATTCTTTTTCATATACGATTAACTTCTGCATTTTTTAATGTAATTTTAAAATAAAACTGCTGGCTTTGAAATGGTTTCTGTTAACAAGTCGAGCCAAGCCTGTTATCTCAGAATTTTGCCAGATCTTTTGTATTAAAAAAGAGCTATATTTACTTTATTGGTTGATTTAGTTTCGGAACAATTCTTACTTTCCTGCTAAAAAATAAATACCATTTATTATTGAAAATGACTTTTTTTTTTTTTTTAATTTATCCATATAATCTACAAGTGGTAACTCAAGAAGCAACTTTTCATTTTGCTTTTATTGTGTAGCTTCTCCTGGACACGCAATGGAACTCATTTTGATATAGATAAAGATGCACAGGTAACAATGAAGCCAAATTCAGGAACCCTTGTTGTAAATATTATGAATGGTGTAAAGGCAGAAGCATATGAAGGAGTATATCAGTGTACAGCAAGGAATGAAAGAGGAGCAGCCATATCCAACAATATTGTTATACGGCCATCTAGTAAGTTAAAATCTAATATTAATAAAACAGGAATGTCTTACATTTGTTTATTTTCTTGTGGATATTTTGCTTCATTTTCTTCTTTTCTCTTAAAAAAAAAATAATCTTTTAAGTCATCAAAGTGATAATATTAGAAAGTGTTGTATAATTGTTAATATTCTGATCTGGTAATGCCTCTCCCAAATTCCTTAGAGTATTTAGTAACCAAAATGCTTTCCTGATTTTTTCTTAGTACAGCTTTGTGATCTAAGATGTTTAAAATTGGGTTCTATTTATGAAATTACAATTGGAATAAAAAGTTTAAATCTTGAATGCTCCTATCTGATATGGGCAACATTTGCTTTCTTTCTGATGGGTGTATTCCATAGTTTTTATAATTGCTTTAATTCAGAGCAGATAAAGCTCAAAGATTTAAAGTAATTGTAAACTGCTTCTACAGCTTTTCTCAGATCAGTTTTTCAGACTTCTTAGCTTAAAATGTTCCATTCTCACAAGTTTTATTAGAGCATCTGTAGTACTATTTCAGGAAGGTTTTTTTTTCTAATTTTGTGTATTACTTTTGTAGATCCATTGGTGATTAGCCAAAATATTTTGAATCAGTGATTATACATTTCGTGAATTATTGCTGTAATAATTATTTTAAATAATTTGTTTTCCCCCCCCATGAAAACATTAAAAAAATCAAAATTAAGTATTTAGTAAATATGTTAAGACTTTACTTACTGATGCTTTTAGTTCTTGTCATTTTCTGGAATTCTATGTGCATTTCTTCCCTAAATTCTAGATTTTTTTTCTCAATTCATAGTTCGTGTGTGTGTTAAAATTATTTTCCATAGGGTCCCCTTTGTGGACAAAAGAAAAACTAGAACCAAATCACGTTCGAGAAGGTGATTCCCTTGTACTGAACTGCAGACCTCCTGTTGGCTTACCACCACCTATAATATTTTGGATGGATAATGGTGAGTTTGCTTTTTATATAGACTTAGTTTACATTTACATTACACAGTTTTTCTATGTAGGTGACTGTTGCTTACCAAGACCACAGGTGATGGAGTTTCCCTCTAAAATACAGACTTTCTAGTTCTGTAGTAATGTATAAACAAGAAAACGTGCAGCCTGAAAGCATGAAGCCAGAGTTAGCTGGGGATCTTAACATAAGCTGTGGATTAACACAGTGGGGAAGATTGGAAGGACAAGGGAGCTTTAGAGAAAATTTCAGAAGGTCTGTGTATTTACAAACCTACAAAAGAATAATGGAAAAAATGTGGCGTCTGCAGATCATAACAATGGAGAGAAATTATAGTTGAAATAAATGTTTTCTTGTTTTTCCTCAGCTTTCCAAAGGCTGCCTCAAAGTGAAAGAGTTTCCCAAGGTCTCAATGGAGACCTTTACTTTTCTAATGTACAACCAGAGGACACCCGTGAGGACTATATCTGCTATGCAAGATTTAATCATACACAAACTATACAGCAGAAACAACCCATTTCTGTAAAAGTCTTTTCAAGTAGGTATTGCATCACCTAATACTTACATACTTGCATGGTATTTATCCAGAATTCTCAGGTGACTTGTCAAACTTTAGTAGTTTTATGCTAGAGATTTGGTTGGTTTAATTCTGAATAAGAAATTGCATTACTTTTTAAAGCTTAAAATGTACTCTCCAGTTTTCTTGAAGTATAATCTGTTTTAAAAGCTGTCTTTTTTCCTTTTATTAGGCTTTGTCTTTTGAAGAAACATTTTCTAGGATTTGAATGATTGAAAAAATAGTGTAAAGATAACTTTTTAAGTGGTTTTCGTATTCAAGGATATCAATCTGTTACAGCTGTAACTATCAAAATAAATTAATCAATCATTTGATTAACTCACCGTGGCCATAACATCACCTTTTGATTCCCAATACTTTGATTTATCCCTCCTGTATACATTCTTCATGATATTCTGTTTATTTCAGTGGATTCATTGAATGACACTATAGCTGCTAATTTGAGTGACACTGATATTTATGGTGGTGAGTTATACTGGTCCTCACTGATACTCCTTGTTTCACAGTAGCATTTAGTTAACTAACTTTACCTCTGTAGCTGCTTAACCTTTTGCTTCCTTTTCAATTTCTAATGAAGGTATCTATTAGTACTGGTGATAATACATGCAAAATGGACTGCACAGTCCTTTCAACTTGTTAATGCTTTAATGTTACTGTAATATATATCTCATAAACAGTACCAGCTCCTAAAATAAATGAGTCCTTTCACACTGGGAAGGATTTTACAAGTTGTCTATTTGCTTCTGTATTAAGTTACTTTTTAATATTTTTTTCCTCCAACTGTTAGTTTGGTTTGTTCATTATCACTGGGACTATTCATTATCACGTGCTGCACAATAGATAACAACAATTAAGCATTTAACAGATGCACTTTACATTTAATAACTTCTTGAATGTACCATTCATTTTTAATATATTTCATAAATGTCAAACTGAACTGAAATTGATTAAAATCTAAACACCTTAATACTATCTGTGTAAATAACCTTGTAGGGAAAAGATGTGTTTGTTTGTTTGGTGTTTGAACTTTTCATTAATCTGTGTGGAATGGTGCTTTGTGTATTGCAAATTAAATCCACCTGAACAGGTATCTGTGCTTAGCAAGGCTGACTGTGGGGTAAGACTGATGTTCACAGCAGTTGAGCATCTGGAATTCCCCACTTAATGTTGTTTGAAATAAATGCATAATGTTTGTTCTGCTTTGTCGTTCTGTCAAGTGAGTCTCTGTGTATGTTAAATTGTAACTTACTATTATCTGAACTGCGTCAGGGGCACAGAATATTTTAATTCTCTGCATAAAAATAAGCTTTCATTCAAGAACAAACAATAACTATGAACCTGAGTGCAGAATGATATGTTAACTGCAGTTAGTACAGAGCACAATTAATTGGTTCACAACTCAGAAATACAGGAGAATTCTTTGAATTTTCATGGTCTTGCAAAATGAGACAGTGATCTTTGGCAGTGAAGAAACTGGGTAGACTACTAAGAGCCGGTGACTACTGACTGTGTTTGTTATGCTTTTCTCCCAACTTTAAGTTGCTCAGGTACTACTTCTAAGGAATTCATGACAAATAGCATATTAAAATTAAGTGTTCTCTTTATGTCAGTCTGTCAATAAATCCTGGCCCTTAATAAACTGTTTTGTTGAATTTCTGTCCACATTAAAAAACAAAATGAAACAACCGTAGGTTACTGTAGTGATTCATACTGCTACTGCACTTTAGGGCAAGGTGATCCTTTATTTTAAAATAACTTTAAAAGAACGTTGACAGGAAGGCACATGAGACAACATAGTAGATTTCAGAGTACAGACTATAATGTTGGAAATGGGTCTTATAGCATCTGTTTGCTATGGTTAATTCTTGTGGATAATCAGTGTTCCATTATTACCAGAGAGGGTAATGGTTGGAATTTAGATTGAGTATATAGTAAGAGGAGAAGACAGAGCTAAATTTCTAGAAATTTCTCACATTTTCTAGAAAATGCTGAACAAAACATATTTCAAACTGAAGCATACCTTTGTTTATATTTCTGAATTTAATTACTTTGCTTTATTAGTGTTTTGACAGAGGCCCAGAAACTTTTGGTAACTTTCAATCTTTTGCAGACTGCGGCAGGTCAAGCTCAGTACGCATCCATACATAGTTGCTTATGTAGAAACTATGGATCAAATGCTGCCCTCAGCAAACAAATATGTTTTTTTTCATAGGATAGCTTGGGTTGGAAGGAACACTAAAAACCATCTCCTTTCAGCCCCCCTGCCACTCACCAGACCAGGCTGCCCAGGGCCCAATCCAATCTGGCCTTGAGCACCTCCAGGGATGGTCCGTCAAATGCCTCTCTGGACAAATTCTACCAGTGCTTCACCACACTCTGCATAAAGAATTTCTTCCTAACGTCTAAACTAAATCTCTCCTCTTTTAGTTTATAGACATTCCCCGTTGTTCTATCACTGTCTGCCCATGTAAAAAGTCAGTCTTCCTTCAGTTTGTAAGCTCTCTCCAACTACTGGAAGGCTGCATTGAGGTCTCCCTTGAGCCTTCTCTTCCTGTGTGTGTTCAAAGTTGTAGCGTTTACTAGGTTGAAATATGATTCTGGTATGTCTGTCAAAAGCCTAACTTGTTAAACTGTGTATTTATGTAACATGATATTTTTTAATTAAATGGTCTACATGTATCAAAATCTATGTCCAAAATGTGAGAATAGATGTATGCATTTGATCAGTATTAAAAGAAAATCTAGAAATTAATTGTTTTAACTTTTCTTGTTCCAGCCAAGCCAGTTACAGAAAGGCCACCAGTTCTTCTTACACCAACAGGCAGCACAAGTAACAAAGTGGAACTGAGAGGAAATGTTCTTTTGTTGGAATGCATTGCAGCAGGATTGTGAGTGACTTTTTATTTCATGTTTTTCTAAACAGAAGTACAGTACTGGTGGAGAATATTTCAGAGATAATTAAAAAGATAATTAAACAGTGTATAATCTTAAGGATTTAAAGAAACAGAAATATAAACTGGAAAGAGGACTTGAAGGAAGTCCTCCATTTTCTCTAAAATCAGCACATTTTAAAACCAGCTATGAACTTAAATGTTTTTCTCATTGTATTAAATATATGAGATGGCCTTTGCTTTCAGGACACAAGCAAGAAAAGTCATAAGGTAATGTTGGACGCTTATCTCCATGTCTGGAGAATTTCATTCAGGAAGCAAGTCTGATTTCTTCCTAACTATACAGCCATTAGGCTCTCGAATGATATATATGAAAAAAAAAAAGATAAGAATGTGCTGGTATAATCTGAACAAGCTGCTCACGTATGCTAATAAATACTTAGGAGATCATCTAGGTGGGAGTTGTCAGAACATACGTTCAGCGACTTACATCCAACTTCTCATTGTAATTGAGTTTAATTGGTACTTGTTTCTTCAGTGTAATGCATGTTTGCCTTCCCTGCTTATTGTGCAAGTAGAAAATTACCAGAGAACAATTTAGTTTCATGAACTAGTTTGATCTTAAATCAGTTTCATTCTCTGGAGGAAAATGGTTCAGTTACTGTGGTACTGGAAAATTTGTAGTACCAATTTATTTCAAAAACTATAAATATATTTACAATGCACAAAAACATTCAGTGCAGATCGCTCTGACGTAGCAGTGAGGTAAACCAGCAAATGATGTAACACAACATCACGTAGAGGTACTCACTTGCATAAACTCCACAGGGTATGCACATGTACAGTTTGGCACAGATTGATATAGGGGTCAGTGCACTGTTTCTGTCACAACTGTGGTTATAGAATCAAAGAATATCCGAAGTTGGAAAAGACCCACAGGATCACCCAGTCCAACCACCCACCAACCATCAATAGCTCTCACTAAACCGTGTCCCTCAACACAACGTCCAAACATTCCTTGAACACCTCCAGAGTCAGTCTCTTCAGGTGTCCTTGCATTAGCACCACTAGCATAACCACAGCTGTGAGTGGGAATAGAATCAGATCTTGTAATCTTCATCCACCATACTGTTATACACTTTTTGGCAACCTGGCAATAAATTAATCAGAGGTCCAAACTCCAGTAAAATGGCTGTATAAAAACAGGGAAAAATTAAAATATCACGCTTTATATGGATTTGTGTCTTTGTAATGTTTATGTTGCATAACTTTTTGTCTTAATAATTCAGTGAGGGAAGTTTAAACTGTTATCCACAAGAGGCCATATTCAGGCCTCTTGATTCATTAATGTTTGGGAGCAGACATTCTACTCAGTAAGCAACACATTTTAATTTGTGTCTGCATGAGTTTGAAAATCTTTTGACTTCAGTGGCTGACGAGGCACAATCAAGATTTAGACACAATGCAGTGATAAGTAGCCATACTTGACTCAGAACTGACTTTTTTTTTTTTTTTGCTTTCTCGTAGAAAAGATTTGTTTCCTAACAGCTCTGCTGTAATGTTTATGATGTTCATGAAGCATTAAAATATTGCTCAAAGGACAGTTGTAAACTGTCATTATCAAAAGTTACTCAAAAGTTACTCTTAAGTAATCATAATAAAAAGTGTAGGTGCAATAAGATATGAAGTACATTTGTATCCCTTTATTAACCATCAACGTTTTTAGATTAATCAGCAGACAAATATATTCCATAATTATTAAGCCTACGAACAGATGGTCATTGACAGTGTTAGTGAGGCTTGTCATTTCCTAGAAACAAATGCTGGCACACTTTGCACATTGGCTGGACATGCCCCGAAAATCTGAGTAAAGTCTTTTAAATGAATTGTTTGTAAAATGTATCTTCAAATGTAGAACTCTCATCCTCGTCGTTACCAGTCCCTTAATTTGATCTGCACTTCTGCTTCTGCAGACCCACACCAGTAATCCGCTGGATTAAAGAGGGTGGTGAACTGCCAGCCAACAGAACGTTTTTTGAAAATTTTAAGAAAACTCTCAAGATTATAGATGTTTCTGAAGCTGACTCTGGGAACTACAAATGTATAGCAAGAAACATATTGGGTTCTACTCATCATGTCATTTCGGTAACTGTAAAAGGTAATATTTAAGAAATCCTTAATTCAGTACTGTCAGCGTCAAGAATGCAAGATTGAAATATGTTTACTTGGATAATAAATTATTGCTAAAAGGATGGATGATAACAGTAAAAAATAGCAGATAAAGTGATCAATAAACCAACTGAATTCTGCCATCAGACAGACTTTACCACCTCTAACTTCCATTTTTCTTTTTACTATATTGCTTTGTCAAGCAACATGCTAAACTGGGGCTGTATTTACACCGGTAAAATAATTCCTTAGCTATATTCATTTTAGATCTTTTGATTAACTATCATTAGACTCCTTCTATCCTTTGTTGTTTTTTTATCTTCCTCCACATCTCTCTTCATTCTTCTTCACTTCGTTATTATTTTGTCTTTTCTGCTCTCCATTCACATAGCCCAGATTTTTTTTTCAGTTTTTCTAGTCATTCATGCTTCATCTCATGCTCCCTTTCCTCCCTCAATGGACATTTCTGTTTTCTTATTCCTTGATGTCTTCTGTCTGAACTATTGTCTTACTAGTTCCAAAACCACAATATTTTTGTCAAAACAGAAACTGTAAGTATATTTTGAGTACTCTAAAACAAAAAATTTGGAATGACAGCTTATGAGGCATTTAAGTAATCATTTGTAGTGCTCCCTTTGCACGTTAAATAGCTATTTATTTACAGTAGTCCAACGTCCTGGTCATATTTAGCCTTCTTTTCAAGAACAGAAGATTTGTTTACATATATCTCCCAGTCCAAAATCTGAAATTTAATCGCAAATTGTGATAATATATCATAGATGTGTTTTTTTTTTTTTAATAATTAATTAATTAAAAATGATGATGTAGATGCAAATCTTTTGGTAAGCTCAGTGTTCTGTTCATTTTGATCTTTGTGTGTTTTCAACTGTATCACAGAAATTTCTAACCCTACTGAAACCACCCACTGAATTCAGCAAGACCAAAGATTTTGCCATTTATAAATTTCACCCTTGACATGAAATCTTTTTGTATAATCTATCCTAACTTCAGTTCTAACAGTCTAACTACTGAGAACATGGATGTATCTGAAATTAATCAAAAGACCATTCTAGCCTCTATAGATGCCATAGTCAGATAAATCTTGCTGTCTTCATGAAAGGCAATTTTTGATTAAGAACAAGTAGCCCTGTAAGAAAGAAGGAGTGTTCTGTTATTTATTTCAGGGTTTTGAAGTAATAGCTAACCTCTATTTAGTGTAGTCAGTAGCTTAGTTTAGCCAAAGTATAATTTATCAGATAATCCTTGAATATCTTGTGTACAAAAAAAAAAATGGACCTTGCAAGTGCATGTCTATACCTATACGTATAGTTTGAATTGTGTTATTATTTCCATTGTTGTGCCTCACGGTTTTCTGTACATAATTGTGGAAAATGACTGCTGTGTTTCTGTTCCTAACTCCAGCTTCCCCCTATTGGATAACAGCACCCAGAAACTTGGTCTTATCTCCTGGAGAAGATGGGACATTGATCTGCAGAGCTAATGGCAACCCAAAACCTAGCATAAGCTGGTTAACAAACGGCGTTCCCATAGCAAGTAAGACATCTAACTACCTTGCAGGAGGATTAATAAGGAAATACAAAAAAGTATTAATTTTTATAAAAATTATAAATGAGGAACCTGTGTTTGAAGATTTTTTTGCCTGACATGTAATAACAAATTATAAGTGAGGTGTTAAAAATACTGTGGTTACTAAAGATGAAATAACAAAATTTGCATTTAATGTGCTTGAGAACACTGGAATTCACATTTGTGAATGTACGCCTGGTTATCCTGTCTGGTAGCATGCTTACAGAGAGCCATAGCAGCAAAGCTGTACCATTCTTTTTAGAGGAGTATTACTGAGGTATCATTTCCACCATTCGCATTCATGTTAACCAATTCCCTCATTTGCTGCCCCAGAGATACACATTTTTTGTCTAAATCAAAAAGATGATGCAAGTCATCACCCCTGTGAATGTTCAAAGCACTTTTGCAGGGTTTGGAGATTAGATTATGTTGGAAGCTTCAGCACTTAAAAAAACAGCAGCAAAACTGACCAGGTATATCAGCAAGTGCCTGGAAAACAACGTGTGCCAATAGATGCCAAAGAAAAGGAACCTGTAAGCCTGTGAAATGGTTATTTCTCTGTGTATGAGTAAGAAGAGCATCCCAGAACTGATGACTAAGTCAGACACGTTAGCTGCTATATAAAGTACAATTTTACTTGGGAAGAGCTTGCCAGAAGGCATTGCAGTGTGTTGTCAGTTGTTTTGCACTCAGCATGGCCACCATCCTCAAATCCCACTTGGTTTGTCTAGCTTTATCCTTCCTTTCTTATAAAGCAATATAAAAATAATCCACCCTGTTTCCTTGTGAGAGATAATGTACTGTAAAATACTGGACTGTTCTGACCCACTGATTGTATGACTGTGACTTCCAGGATTTTCAGGAGGTGTTTGAGAGGTGCACCAAAAGTGGGTGTCACGTAAATCTCTCTACAGTGAGAATATGGGAAATAGCAAAAGGCAAACAAGAACTTACATTAGATATATTCAAAATATTTGTGATACAAGAGAGCTGACACTGAACTGCAGGGAAAAGTATGCAACTTGAGGGAAAATCTAAAGGTATTTACAGAAGACACTCTATGATTCTAATTTCCACAAGGATGTCTGTAATAACAAAGTAGTTCTCAGAAGCCAACAGAGTCTAGCATTTTAATCTTTTATACCAAAAGGATGAAATAAGGGAAAGTATTGAAACAGTTATTTAGCCAGGAGCCTATTTCAGGGGTATTAATTAAGTGTAAGTTAAGATCTCTAGCCTGAGATTTCAAAAAAGAAGCTTCCATTGTTTAAGAAAACTATGTAAGCTGACATTAAGCACCATTTCAGAGAGCTATTACTCATCTCACCAAACAGTGGTAAGTACTGAAGGAAAATAGGAAAATAGCAAAGTAGTCTTGTGCATTCTGTATGCACATAAATGAGAATTTCTGCTTTATACTTGAATTTTTGTACCTATCCTGTTCTTACCTTTCTGGCCTTTTAGCTACTCTCAACATCCTTATTATTTTCATATAGTTGCCATTAATCTTGTTTTGTTTTGTGGAGACTTTCGTCTTGCGGATAGCTTACCCCTTCAGCACTCCTGACTAATAACATCTTTTGCTGATGAGTATGACAAATGCATCTTTGCCTTGTACTGCTTCCTTCTCAAAGCTGTAGGAGTTGCTGTTAAAATAACGAACAAGTAGATTTTCCAGAACAGCCACAATGCGTCTTGAAGTATTTCAGGGTAGCAGTAAAACATTAAGAGATACAAAGTTTTAGGAAGCAGCTGCATGATACCACCAAATTTTCCAAAAGCAAGGGCAGCATATATTGGCTCGCTGGCCCCGAGGAATCAGTATGTGGAGTTTTATTGAAGGAAACCCAGGAAAAATTAAAAGGCTTTAATAAAATTAACCACTCGGCCTCAGTAGGAGGGAGGGAAAAAAAGGAAAGGCAAAAGAATACAGCAAATAATAACCTAGTAGGTAAGCATTATGTTAAAGGTCACTTTCACTGCTGAGGAAGGCTGAAGTTTCACCATCTTAAATATATAAGTTCAAGTTCACTGGATGCTCCAGGACACTGAATCTGTCAGAGCACCAAAGAGAGAAAAGCATCATGATCACAGAAACTGCAGTTCTTAAGATTCTTGTAATTTTGTGTTATTCTGAGTCATCAAAAAGCTGATATGGAAACTACCAAGTACAGTATGCCCTTTTGTTCACTTGTTACTAAATGACAGAATTGAGCCCCTCTCCCAGCTGAATGATTAGTAAATCACTGTAAAAGGAAACTAAAGCAGCTGTTTCAGCTTCAGGGCAGTGCTGACTGAGCTACACCCATGGCAGGATTTCAAAGAAAAAGAACTACATTTGAATTTCAAAGCCCTCCTGTCATCATATGTCCCACAATGTGCCTCCTGTGGCCCAGTAATCTGTTTGCAATACTTTCATTTTCTATTGGAAAGCACAACTGGGAGATGCTTAATTCTTCCGGTTTTGTTTTTCCGTAATAAATTCAGGCAAGGAGGGGGAGTGTTGAAGAAAGAGCTATCCATCCGTGTCTCAGTGAAAGGGTGAGCCTTAAATAACAGAAAGGGAAAGAAAAATGGAAAAGGGAAGAAAGATGAAGATGAGATTTGTATCAAAATAAATTTAAAAATTAACGTATTTTAAGCATCTATGAAAAAAAGTGAAATGTTCCAAAAATGTTATATTACTCAGTATGAAGGGATATTTTAAAGGAAGATTTTAAGTTTATTTGAAATCTTTTAGAACATTTTCTTGGACAGTAATGCTTTGAATTTACAACAAGCTGCTCTGGAGTGATAAAGAGCTAACCTTGTAATGTTTACTCACAGGAGTAATTTGAACCCACATGCACAGTCCCATTGAGGTCAATTAGAATTACTTTTGCAAGTAGCAATTGAAAGTTCAGGCCATGACTCTGCCTTGCCTCGCGCTTCAATTAACACTCAAGTTCTGCATTATTTATACTGCTGCATAATCCGTTGTGTTTTAGTGCTCAGATATTCAGCATGGCTTTACAAAAGGGAAGCCATGCGTGAAGTATCTCAACTTTTAAAAAAGTAACAACATGGATTAATTGGGAAGGGGAAGCGCTTTCATAATTGGACTTCAGAAAGACATTGCAAATACTGCACAAAAGACTAATTTATTGGTTCAGTAGTTCATAGTTCATGATGAACTATTAAATATTAAATACACTTAGATTTAAACAAAGTAGTGCACTGAAAGGCACTGTTTATTTGCTTTCAAAAGTGCTTCACTTGTTTATATCACATTTCACATTGAATCTTAGTTTGAGTTAGTCCCCATTAGTAATCATATTGAAGTGAATGGAGAAAGTTTAGCCCTTAAATTTCCTTCATGAAAGGCCTTGATAATCTCTGGCTCGGGGATTTGTTGTCCATCATGCTCTGTGTGAGTACACACACATGCAGCTTATGATGGCCGTGGGAGGGTGCGGGGAAACCTGCTGGACTCTGATGCCCCAAGGAGATGAATCTGGCTTAGGACTTGCAGTAGATAGTAAAACCTTTGATAAGCAGCTTTTTTTCATTCTGCACAAGATAGTCAAAATACAGCTGTGGCTGTGGTGGTAATACCCTGCCATCCCTTTAGTGTTAATAGTATGATTAAAATCAAAAGCTTGCCCTGGAACAAGGATTGCAGTGATGACTGTAAAATATTTTACTGAGAATCAAGTGAGGTTATTAAGAAAAGGGCACTTTTTTCTTGCTCCATCTCTTCCAGACTTAAGTCTTTGAGAATTCGCTGTAGGTGATAGAGTAAGGCAAAGTTGAATTACATAAGTTTCTTGTTCTTGCTTACTTTCAGTCTTGTATGACCCTATAGGATTTCAGATTTTTCTGATGCTGTATACTGCTCATGCTCAGTATTTTACTACTAGCTTTTGTCCAGATTTACCCAACTCTGAAAACATAGTCCAGTATTCCTCTGGGTCAGAACCTGCAGCATACCATTGGAACTGTATGCATCTGTGCAGAAATGTGTCCTGTTTCTGTGACATTCTCCTGTTGTCATAGCTAATCCATCAGAATACAAATGTACAACATTTTACAAATAGTTCTTCAGAACTACCACCTCAGTCTCTCAACTGTTATTATTTTTAACCACAGAAAGATCTTCCTTATTTTGAAAATTACTTGTCAACATGAATTTTTGGAGAAAAAAGCAGATCATGAAAGATTGTAGATTATTTTTAGCAAAAGTTACAATAAAAGTGATCATCTGATACTGTCAGAACTGAAGGTCATCGCTATGCAAGGACCATAGGTTTCCAAAAAACCCAACTGTCTTTACTTTCTTAATATTTTTCAAAGATATCTCTGAAGTCAGAGCTGAAAATGATGTGTTAAAAGCCAGTGGTAATCTCAGGCACTATTTACATTAACTATTATTTGGCCATAAACTTAAGGACAGAATTATAATATTAGTAGAACTACTGCAATAGATGCTCACTATAAAAATCTAAAATAATTTTCTCAGCATCGCTAAGAAACTGATGCAAAATGAAAATTCAGCTTTACTAAAGAGATGAAAGAGAAGCCATGAGCTTAAACAACAGACTTTCTGTTCCTGCATTGGTATCAATTTCTGCAGCTCCTGTGTAGTTTTCTACACTAAAATGATCTTGTTCATGAACTTAAAAAATAAAAATTGCTATTTGAAATGTTTTTCAACAAGCAGATAGAGTCATTGTGACACTGTGAATACATAGCAATAGTAATTATTTTTAGTCAGAACTTTGATGAAATCATAGAATGGTTTGAGTTGAAAGGGAGTTTTAAGATAATCTATTTCCACCCCTCCCACTAGACCAGGTTGCTCAAAGTCCCATCCAGCCTGGCCTTGAATGCTTCCAGGGAGGGGTATTCACATCCTCATTGGGCAACCTGTTCCAGTGTCCCACCACACTCACAGTATAGAATTTCTTCCTGACATCTAGTCTAAATCTACCTCTTCCAGTTTAAAGCCATTTCCCCTCATCCTGTTGCTACATACCCTTATAAAATATCCTTCCCCAGCTTTCCTGTAGGCCCCCTTCAGGTACTGGAAGGCTGCAATTAGGTCTCCTTGGAGCCTTCTCTTCTCTAGGCTGAAAAGCCCCAGCCCTCTCAGCCTGTCCTCATAGAGGAGGTGCTCCAGCCCTCTGATCAGCTTCGTGGCCTCCTCCGGACCTTCTCCAACAGCTCCATGTCCTTCTTGTGCTGGGGACTCCAGAACTGGATGGAGCATTGCAGGTGGGGTCTCACAAGAGCAGAGCAGAGGGGCAGAATCACTTCCTTCGACCTGGTCACACTTCTCTTGATGCAACCCAGGATACGGCTGGTCTTCTGGGCAAACACACATTGCTGGCTCATGTTGAATCTTTCATCAATCAGCACTCCCAAATCCTTCTCCTTAGGGCTGTTCTCATGCCGTTCTCCACCCATCCTGTATCTGTGCTTGACACTGCCCTGACCCAGATGCAGGACCTTGCACTTGGCCTTGTTGAACTTCATGAGGTTGGCAGAGGCCCACCTCTTAAGACTGTCCAGGTCCCTCCAGATAGCATTCCTTCCCTCTAGCATGTCAACTGCACCATTCAGCTTGGCATTGTCTGCAAACCTGGGTGCACTCGATCCCACTGTGCATGTTGCCTATGAAGATGCTAAATAACACCTGTCCCATCACTGATCCCTGTGGAACACCACTTGTCACTGGTCTCCACTTGGACATTGAGATGTTGACCATCCAGCCAATTCCTTATCCAGTGAGTTGCCAATCCATAAAATCCATTGTTCTCCAATTTGGTAACAAGGATGTCATGTGGGACAGTATCAAATACTTTGCACAAGTCCAGGTAGATAACATCAGTTGCTAAAGATAACATGAAAGAAAATACAGGCATCTAAAGATAGTCATAAATCTTTCTGCTCTTCTCAAATTAAAATTAAATTAAATTAAAGTTCTTACTTTATTTTGCTGTGATGTTACTGATCTGGGTAAGGTTAGTTCTTATTCATGCTGAAGCTGTATATGTTCCCATTGATACAAGGAAAATCAAGCAAGTAAGTTTGTTCCCTTCTTCTCCAGGTTGTTTTCAGCCAGAGGGAATCTCTACTACAACAGCTGAAGATGACATCAACATATTCACTATAGAATAGAAAGAGTTTATATGCAGACTTAGACTACAGTAGTCTACAGTATGCTTCTGGGAAAAAGGAAAAAAAGATATTACCTTAGGTTACATTGTGTTTCTCGGGCAATGACAAAAAAAATACCTAACTCTATGCACTATGGGACCTGACTTCTAAGTTAGCAGAGCTGAGAATATCTGATGTCAGCTGGAGCTCATACTTTGTTGTATTTCAGAATGTGTAACAGTATCAAATTCATAATTTCTGAATTTAAAAATATTAGCCTTTTTGCTAACAATAATAAATTACAGAATAGCAATCGAAGGTGTCTACCACCTTCTCAGTGAGCAATTTCTTACTGTCAATCTGTGTTTTTAACTAGATTATTTTAAAATCACAGAATCATAGAAAAGTTGGAAGGAACTAGAGATCATCTAGTCCAACATGACTTCTTAAAGCAGAGCGTTATCTGCATCAGGTTGCTCAAGACTGTCTGCTCAGATTTTGACTGTCCCTAAGGACAGAGGTTCCATAACTGCCATCAGTCTGACCACCCTTACAATTTTTTTTTCTGTTTTTTAAGCTTTTAGAAATGATAACAACAACAACAAAACCTTCCAACAATGGATTATATCTTCCAGTTTTCCATAACGAAAATGGGATTTGAGCTAAGGAATTGTAAAATCAATAAACCAATTATTTCATGTCTTACTAGTTTTCTTCAAAAAAAAAGTATCCTTATAGAATTTTATTAGGCTGAAATTTGTATCATTTATTTGGACTGATAACGTTATGTGACAGACTGCATTATCATTTTACAGTTCTTTTGATCTTCTTTTCTTTAGCTTCCTGAGATTGCACAAATAAATAATTAATCAGGAAAATTAAATACTTTAGTAAAAAGGGGTAAAAAAAAAAATCAAAATTTGGAATATTCTTCCTATTTTAAGCATAAAGGTGTGTTTTAACTGCTTTTGTTCAGAAACCAGATTTCTTCTTCTTTTTTTTTTTTTCTCAGAAAATACAGAAGAGCCATAGTAGTTCTTTAAACAAAATAAGAAAAAGTAGTTGCCTGGGCTGTCAAAGTTTTGTGAAACGGAGTGAGCGTATGTGTTCAGACAGACAGACAGACAGCGGTCAGGGTGCTCACAGCTAACTATGACAGAAGTATCCCACAGAGGCCTTACGTTCTCTGTAGACAAATAGCCTATATTTGACTCAATGATTTTGAGACTGAATGTTGTCTGATACAGAACACATGCTTAGCTATACATTACAACAGCAGAAATTTTACAGCAAATCCTTAGAGTTCATATGCCCAGCTGTACACATCCATTTTAGTTATTGTGTAGTTCTTTGCTGCTTTTCCTGTTGGCCTGTCAAATACATCAAAAGCATTTTCTTCTTTTTGTGCAGCCATTCTGCATGGTGACCAGAGTACACTGCAGACAAGCATTGTGTGAGGGCAGGGTTATAGTTCAGTGATGTAGCATCTACCTTCTAGGGCCTGGCCCTGCAAGATGCAGTATAGTACATGAGCAAAGACATGTAGGTTGTGCTTGTGTTGCCTGGAAATATTAGGTGTGTCAGAAAACACACAGTAGATGCCAGTCTCAACGCAGCACTCTTGATTCAGCATGGAGGTAGCTAGATAAGAGAAATGAAGCACTGACTAACCTGATACTTTTTTTTTCTTTTTTTTTTTCTTTTCTCCTGGACCCATGATTTAAAATACTTTTCTTAGAACAGGCACCTACTTTCTTTTCTTTGAAGTGCTGAAGAATGGTATCTCTTCTTTTCCCTAAATAAAAAAGTGAGAAGGGAAGATGCTACCCTTCTTTTTATACAACTCAATGCTTACCTCATGAGGGGCCCTACCGAGCCTGTAAATTAGAAAGTATGGGATGTATCCACACTGGAGGGATACACAGAGCATGGGACAGGAAGGGGCCACGAGCCTCTGTCTATTGGGGGGGATGGTTGTGTACATTTTCCAGGTAATGGTGATGTGTGTACAGATACAGAATGCTTCTCACGGGTGAGTAGACTGCCTACTGGGCTACTCACTGCTCCACTATTTTCAGCCCGTGAATCTTTTAATGAACATGGCACTTACGAGTTGAGAACTGAGATACTATCTGAAACAAAAGGTACTGTCACTTACAGAAAATCCATGTCAATTTTTTAATTGATCTTTTCTATGAATCCAGAGAAATCAGGAATATTTTTATATGAAAATGTCTTCCACATATGCACTTATTTTCTCAAACTCCAATAAGTGGTGTCAATCTCGATGCAAACAAACTATGGTGTTCCTATTTATTCACTTATTTTTCATATTAGTATAGCAATAAGATCACCAATGTATCAACATTAGTAATGCTTTGATAGATTTTACTTAGCTATTTTAAACATTAAATTATAATTTGTGCATTTTTATTCGGTGCAGCGTTATGAGCTAATTCTGTTATACCTCTGTCACTCCAGTTGTATCATAACTGATAGCAATTATTCTTCAGTTATATCTCAGAATTTTATTTTCAATTATATTCTAGATTCTGGGATGCAAGAGCATTTTGACACACCTCTTGCTGCTATGGAATAGTTGGAGCAATGGCACTTTATAATAGTTACATAAGGGAAAGAGTGCCACCTACTGAATTACTGTCACTGCTTTTGTGAAGACTCGATATTGTGTTACTGAGATAGTTTGAAATGGACTATCTAAATAATTTAGATAATTATTTAGGTATATAAAAACAGATTTGAAAAGCTGAACAATTAAACTCTAGGGGCCCTAAGGTTCCAATTGTAACACAATTTTCTTTTGATGTTGAGAAGTATTTCTTTATTTTTGTAGATAGTGTTTGTAGCTTCCTGAATTTTGTTGCATCTGTATATTTCCTCCTTGTTGTGGGCAAAATCTGATCTCATCTCTGATTATTTGGGCAAAAAGAAACACAATACAACAACAAAAGCAACAAACACAAAAACCTCTAAAAAAGGAAGTCTACCATCCTGAATTAAATGTGCATAGAACTAGAAGAACTTCCTTAATCATTCTGGAATTCAGATCTTACACAGTGAACAAATGTGAAAATAGAGTAAACGGCATATTGGTCTCACATATTATATGTTCTTTTCAGTAGCATGAAACATGTAATGCAGTTTAAGAGAAAGAACTATTTCTTTTCTTTACACCAACAGTTGCCCCAGAAGATCCTAGCAGAAAGGTAGATGGGGATACCATTATTTTCTCTGCTGTGCAAGAACGATCAAGTGCTGTTTATCAGTGCAATGCTTCTAATGAGTATGGATACTTGCTGGCAAATGCATTTGTGAATGTTCTTGGTAAGAAAAAAATGCTTATATTTTTCAGTCTTCTTGGTTATTCACTTGTCTCCTATTATTACATGGATTGTTTGCCCAAGCATTCATTGATGTTTTTAGTATATGGAGACTGATATATTTCCTGAACTTTGTAAAAGTCCCATATATAGATATCTTAGGGTTTCTTTTTGTAGGATATTCCTGAATTTCCCTTTCACTACTACTTGGTAAGAAGCATAGTTTTGGAATCTTGAGAAATTTGGAAGAATTTTTTTTTTTTTTTAATTAAACCATAAAAAAACCTAAACAGACAAATAAGGTAGGAATTAATATTCCTTAGGATAGAATGTTTCAGTGCTCTTTCATGTATTTGCTGGAGTTTTGGGACTGTTAAATATTTGTTACATTTGAAAACTACAGTACAGACCACATTCCACTCCTGCAGTGATCCCAGATTCAGGTAATCCCTGGATAAGATACAGCTAAACTAAAGATTATCTATAAATTACTATTACAAGGAGAAATGATTATGCGTTAGTCTTGAAGGCCTGCAAGGATGTGTTTCACATTATGAGATATTGTGGTCTCAGTATCTTCCCACTGAATTTAACAAAAATAGTAGAAGGATGGCCCCTAAAGACTCTCCTGAAGGAAATGGCAGGTCCTTTGATTGAGAGACAGTTTTTTAAGTGAAAGAACCTCATTTTGGGTTTTCTGTTCAAAAATGTAGGTGATTCACCAAAAATGCCTGTTAACTTCTTTCTGCCTGGAGGTTTTCTTGTAATTATATAGCTCACTCTGTTCCCAGGAGTTTCTCTTCATGAAGTATGTTCTACTTTAAATTTTCCAATTGAAACCACTGGCTTTAGTGCCCTATTCATTGTAAATAGGAAAGAAGTGTTTGTTTTTCAGATGAAAATTCTACTACATTAATATTTCCTCAGGCTGCAAATAGTTGAATGTAATTGGACCCTAGACTGAGATCAGAAATACTTCTTGAGGCCCTTCTTGATGTCTTTATGTTTTGTATTTGTATCTTCGCATCTATATCCAGATATCTTTATCTTTTCAGCGGAGCCACCAAGGATTCTAACTCCTGCTAATAAGCTGTATCAAGTCATCGCAGATAGTCCTGCATTAATAGATTGTGCTTATTTTGGTTCACCTAAGCCTGAAATTGAATGGTAGGTTGTAGTTCTTGTGTTTAAGTTATGGAAAAGAACCAGTTGTACCCATGGAAACAAACACATTAATTATATTTGGCGTAGCAACATGTTTAAGTGTAAAGTTTAAACTTAAATTTAAACTCATTTAAATATCATTATGGATGCTGTCTGTATTTGCTAACATAGCAGTCCAAGTTTATTATTTCCAAATAATAAAATATGATAGAATTTAATTATGGCATTGGGTAACGGTGATATCTTTCACTTAAAGGTTTAAGGGAGTGAAAGGTAGCATCTTACGTGGAAATGAATATGTTTTCCATGATAATGGGACCTTGGAAATTCCAGTGGCTCAGAAGGATAGTACTGGCACATACACATGTGTTGCAAGGAATAAATTAGGGAAGACACAAAATGAAGTACAATTGGAAGTTAAAGGTAAGCTATGAATGCCTGTTTCATCACAAATTACTGTAGAACTTCAGACTTTCTAAATATCTAATAGACATTTCAAATTTCAGACCCAACGATGATAATTAAACAGCCAGAATACAAAGTGATTCAGAGATCTTCCCAGGCTTCATTTGAATGTATAATAAAACATGATCCTACCTTAATACCAACAGTTATATGGCTGAAAGACAATAATGAACTACCAGATGATGAAAGGTATAGACAAAATATTTCATATTTTATTTTTGTTTTCTTGTTTCTTCTGTGTGCTTCTTCTCCTGAATTTTGAAGGGCACACATTGGCCTATTGATATTTTTCCAAGCAATACTATTCTGTATTTGATGACTAAAAGACTTATCTAATGTGGTGAAAAAATTAAATTAGAATTCAAAATAAAATGAAATGCAATTTTTTTTTTTTTATGTGTACATTGATCATGCATATCAATTATAAGCATAAGAAACTGAAGAGTAAATTAAGACATTTCTGCTGTAGATCACAGATAATTAAAAGTAGTTTGAGTATATTTGGAAATAAAAATACATTAGAAAAAAGGTAGGCAGATACTATGGAAAGATGTTTAAGACTAATGCAGAAAAATCTGATACACCTTAGCTTACATTGTTGTCTAGATATTTGCTGAAGTTCACATGTTGGATTTGACAATGCTTTAAGCATATTTCTTATAGCACTACCAGTTACTGAAAGTCATTGGCTGAATCTATTGTATTTGCAGGTTTCTAGTTGGTAAAGACAACTTGACCATTATGAATGTAACTGATAAAGATGATGGAACGTATACTTGCATAGTTAATACTACTCTGGACAGTGTTTCAGCAAGTGCTGTGCTTACTGTTGTTGGTAAGAATACTCTAAGAAATTATGATAGCAGAACTGTACTTAATTTCTGTTAAGTAGGAAAACAACATTTGATTTAAAATAAAAAGCTTAAAAATAGGTTTTGATTGCTAGGATAGGACAAAAGAAATTTCAGATACTTATATATGTGTTTCGTTTAAAAAATATAATAATCTTACCCTAAAGTTTGCTTTTGAATCATCTACTTACAAAAGGATCTGATGGCTTCAAGACACATGCAGTTTCACACTGTATAGGTTTTAATTCCTATCACACCTGAGCTAACATGGTAAATTATGAATTTCTAAGTACTTGTTATGTCAAGAATCTCTTTTGCAGTTAGATTACTCCTCAGAAAGAGTGAGCATGCTTGATTGTTGGACTTTTCAATGATTTTCTTATTAAATTTGTTTTCCCTGTTAACTTTTTATAACTGCAGATTTTTGTAAAATGTGTTAGTTTGCCCCTTCTCCCACTTTATAAGAAAGTTTTAAGTAGATGTCCTGTGTGATTCTTGACTGGGGAAGTTAAGTGGAAGTGAAGTTCAACATGAGAGTTGAAATCAAGTATGCTTGTGTTTTAAAATTGTATTGTGGTCTTATGCATATCCAGAAATGACATCTAGTCTTGTACTTACAACCATCCTGTACTCGTTTATAAATTTTCATAAGATTGCTTACTTTATTTTCTTGATCCATCTATACTATAAAAAAGGATAAATTATTGTAGAATGCTTTTATCAGTTTTCAGTTTAAAATTCTCAATTACTCAAACTCAGCGATTTGCTCTAAATAAGTTAGCTTTTCTGTATCTCTAATTGTTATGATCTGTAACTACCTGCTATATTCTGTTCCTTTGGCTACTAACTGATTAAATCCTTTATATTAATGTTCTTTTCAGCTGCTCCCCCAACTCCAGCTATCATTTACGGTAAACTAATACAAAGTTCCCTTCATCTGCCAGATATATTTCTCATTTTTCCATTACAAAGTGCAATGTCTTTTTTTCCCTCTCTTTTTTTTTGTGTTTGTGTGTGAATGTGTGTTTGTTTTCATCCCATTTTACCAACTGCTTTGATACTGGAGTATTAGACTTTGGAATTTTACAGTGCAGGGTGCTTTATATTTTAGAGAATAAATGATTTTAAAAGATAAATTATTTTTAATTGAGATTACAGTGTGAGAGTATTTTCTAATGGTGAACACTGTAATACAGATCAGTTATATAATAAATGAAAGTCTTAAAAGGTAAATCCATTCATTTATTTAAAGCTAATTCACTATCAAAGAACGTGTAACAGATAAATTGTAGTATATTTTTCATTTAATTTAATAACACCTTTCTTGGTCTGGTGTATTTATGTTATAGTTTGTATACATTTTACCTCATACAAAATGGGTAGGACCTTATTGTCTCATTTATGATTGATGAAACTGCCAAGTAAGGATTTTGAAATTAAAATACACCAAAAAATCTGTCAGTCATGCATAGCCCTAAATTGGAAAGCCTACACCCTTTAATTTGATAGCATTTTTTCTGAATTTGGAATTTGAAATGCAAAAACGCTTCTGAGTGTTGAGCACATTTATGTAGGTCCTGTCATAAGCAGAGAAAATGTTTATGCATTCTTAAGTGAACTTACTCGTTAGTCTTTATATTCATGTAACAATTCATATAATTAAATATTTTCTTCAGTTGAAATGGACATTTACATCTTCATGCATTATGAAGGTGTATTTTATCAACTTGTTTGATATTTCAAGATATCTAAGAAGTAGAACAAAAATAAGTGTCTTAGCAACTCAGTTTCCATTTGCACTGTACTTGCTTTGATTTCATAGGCAACATATTTGTAGTGCTTCTAGAAAAGCTTTTTTGATGTGAGTTCCTTATTTTCCATTTTATTAAATATTTCTATTTATAATAGATTATTACTCTATAAACTAAAGAGATGCTTCATGTTTATTTTTTTCTCATTACATTTTTATATCACAGTGCAAATTCTTGTTACTGTGTAGAAGTTTCCAAATACATCACTTCTTCCCCATTTCGTATCTGTTTTGTGACAATTGCATGCTAATAGTCATGAAACAATGCTTATACGAGTCAGTAGATCTGCACTGCTGTATTTGTGGGCTTCTTTTCATTGGAATGTAAGGATTTTTCCAAAGATAAAACTACATATTCTGACATGATTATTTGTTTTGTGTTCATTTGATTTACAGCTCGGCCAAATCCACCGCTTGATTTGGAATTGACAGGTCAGCTAGAAAGAAGCATTGAACTCTCATGGGTACCAGGAGAAGAAAATAACAGTCCCATTACAAGTATGTTTGTCTGTGTCTATTGTAGCAGCAGACACCAAAGAGTTTAAAATTTTTTTCTTGTGTAGCATGGAAGAATGGCAAATTCATCTGTTACAGTAGCCATTTATTTACATTAAAAAAATCACTGAAATCTACTGCTGAGCCAAGGTGAAAGACTTATTTACTACCCTGAAGTGCTGGACTTTTTTTCCAAATACCTGTGCGAGTTAATGTAAAGGTTGATAGTGATGTGAGCTCTGTCTGACAAGGTTCTGTCTTATGAATATGTAGAGAGCAGGCTTGTTCATTAGTTGAATGAATAAAAAGTTACTTATATGTCCTTTGAAAGGTGAAAGCTACTGTCATCTTGCTTTAACTCTTTCATAATTCCCATGAACTTGAAATAGCATCAGTACCACTGCCTTTCATCACTATTGGTAACAGACCCCTATCCTTCATGAAAATATAAACCAGATAGTTTTTTTTATTTATTTTTCCTAGTCTAGATACTTGAGGGAATACAGTGCATCCATACGACAGAGAAAATAAACGTATTAAATCTTTTTAGACAGGAAATTGGTCTGAAATGTTCTAATTTCTCCCAGTTGAGCACAGTGAAAGCACTGAAGTTTTATGCTTTCAGATTTGTTTAATGTATATGGACTCATAATTTGCTTTTTAAAATATAAAAACCATTAATATAAATATTTGAATTATATTTGTTACAATTCATTTATATACTCTTGTGTCAGTACTTTGATTTTTTTTCCAGACCAGATGACAAAAGCCTTTTTTTTTTTTCTTTTCTATTGAAATGCAATCATTCTGACTCAAGAGATTTGATACCAGGTGATGGTTCATGTCAGAGATTTTCCAATGCATGCATTAAAATACTGGAAATTTTACTCTTCCAATTAAGTAATGCTGGTATTAATTACAGTAAATTTAAACTGATGTGTTGTCCCCTGAGAGGTTGCGAAACAAAGCATTTGCTTCGTAAGTAAGGCTAATGTTGTGGCTACTGTTCACAGTTCAAAAAAACGAGGCTCAAAGATAGCACTTCATTTTGAGTGATCCTTTTACAAAGATAGTATGATTCATATACTAGAATCTGTCTTTCGGCTGATTGACAGCTGAAAAAAGACATAACAATGTACAGTGATTTTATTTTTGGTTCTACAAATCTGTCTATCCCTGAGGTTCTATATTCTGCACAGACTTGACTGCAATTAATAATATTCACGCAGAAAAATCTCAAGAAATTAAGTTTCTGTACATTAATTCCTTGACTGACTTTGAAGATACTGAAAAGAGCACTTAAAAACCTTCCTCAAGTAATGATTCTTGACTTTAAATAGTTTTTCACTGATCTGACTGAGGAAAATGGAATACTCACTTGGTCTTAATATTGTATAGGTACTACAATAATGTCATCTTGATATAACCAGGAGCAATGTATTTGTCTGCCAAAATGATATTTTATATCAAAATTCCGATCTTGTCCCACTTTCTTGCTGTGTTCGAGGATTCCTGTTACATTTAAATCCAGTACCTGGGAGATTGCTCTTGTAAGAATGTGCTGCCTGACATCTGTATTAGTAAGAATACCACATAGCAAAAGAACAAGTTCTTCTCTTATATTTCCATCCAGGCAGTACTTTTGAGATCCACATTATATATGTCTCCTATATTCTTAAACTTCAGTTTCTATGATTTTTAAAAATGTTCGCTGGATTGCTCAGTTTTGATTAGCTCATTCAAAAATGACTACACTGATCTGAGAAGGTGTTGCAGATTTTGACATAAAATTGGATTCAATTTCTGTTTGCAGACTTTGTGATTGAGTATGAGGATGGACTGCATGAGCCAGGGGTATGGCATTACCAGACGGAAGTTCCTGGATCTCAGACAACTGTGCAGTTGAAGTTGTCTCCATATGTCAACTACTCATTCCGTGTGATTGCTGTCAATGAAATTGGTAGAAGTCAGCCAAGTGAACCATCTGAACAGTACCTGACAAAATCCGCAAGTAAATAAGTATTCCTGCTTACTAGTAATTGATCTGTACTGTGAATGGCATTGTATTTGCTTGGAATGGAAACAGCAATCATTCCTGTTCACATGTAAATACTTTGTTTTTAGACCCTGATGAAAATCCTTCTAATGTACAAGGAATAGGCTCAGAACCTGATAACTTGGTAATAACGTGGGAGGTAAGTTTGGGTTTTGGAAGTTTGTTTGTTGTTGCCTCTGTGAGTAGCATTTTTATAGAGAATTTCTTTAAAGAAATAATGATCTATCTGAGATTTCCCTGTGAGATAATATATGTATTGTGTGTTTAACACATTCTTGGAAAAGAAAAAAAAAAAATCTAGACATTTCCCATTCTTCATTTTCAGGGAAAATCTGAATACATTATCAAAGAAAAATATTTTTTCAAGGTGCCATATTTTCCTTGAGTGATTTCTCTAAGATAAGCAACTAAATTGGTAGTACAAGATGTTTTGCTGCCAATGTAGAAGAACTTAAGTATGTAAATTGTGGTTTATCTCAAGTATACTCTTAGAATGAATTCTAATGTAAAACTTAATTCTCAGCTTTTGTCATAAGCTGAATTGCTGTGCACAGTTCCTCTGGAAAAAAAAAAACAACCACTTGTGTTTCTGTCAAGCCCTTGCCATCATGATAGGAGCTCAAGAGAGCCATTTAAATTTCACCTCCCAGGCAAGAAACATTCTCTAGGGACACACAATTTTAGGGAGCTGGTGTAAATCTGTTTCTCCCTCTTCTACTTCTAAAAACTGTATTCAAAAAATGAAATATGTATAGAAACTCCACTGTATGGTTGTCTGGTAATTAGCTATTATCTTATTCAAAACTCTCAATGCAATTTTTACTAATACTAAAAAGCAACTGAAACTACCTCATATAAAAAGTAAATTGAAAATTTCAGCAGTGCTTTTCTGTCCCTGAACACAATAGTAATTCTTCAGTAAAATTCTAAATCAGCAACTTTGTGACTTTAGATTTTTTTTAGAGGCTACAGAATATTTTAAAAGCAGTTTGATTCACTCTTTTTATTTCAGTCTCTAAAAGGCTTTCAGTCTAACGGACCAGGACTCCAATACAAAGTCAGCTGGCGCCAGAAGGATGTTGATGATGAATGGACATCTGTTGTAGTTGCAAACGTGTCTAAATATATTGTGTCTGGTACACCAACTTTTGTTCCCTATGAAATAAAAGTACAGGCTTTAAATGACCTGGGATATGCACCAGAGCCATCAGAGGTTATTGGACATTCAGGGGAAGACTGTAAGTTTCCTAGTTTGACTCTGTAGTATTAATTAAAAGCAACTAAGTGTATAACCTGAGTGGGAATTCAAAATATTGAAGTATTAAAGAGGGATGTAGTTGATTTTTTTTTCTTTTTTTGTAAGTTAAAATGAAGTAAGTTGGGAATAACAAGCATTCATAAAACCCTGTAGTATTCATGTTGAGATTGATTTTTCTCAAAGAATTCTTCTCAAAGATTTCTTCTCAAAAAAATGTTATAAGTCATTCCAAGAAAGTATTTTCACGTGGTGTTTGATCCTAATTCAGTACCTTTCCACACAGTGCCAATGGTTGCTCCAGGCAATGTGCAGGTTCATGTAATTAACAGCACATTGGCAAAGGTGCACTGGGACCCTGTTCCACTAAAGTCTGTCCGAGGACATCTTCAGGGGTATAAAGTAAGTACAATCAAAAGCTTGCTATTCTCATTTATTAAAATAGATCACTCCTGCAAGGTGAGATTGTATCTAGTTTGTAGTAACTTGATATGTAAGAGAATTCTTGCTTTTAAGAGAGCTCACAAGTTTGGCTGACAGGAGCCAAGTGTTATTAAGACTTATTTAAAATTTGGCAAGGCTCCAACCTTGTAGTATGCCTCCTGTGATATTGTCCTTGAAGAAAAAGGAGATGCTTTTGCAATCAAATTTGCACACATTAAATAGATTAAAACCTTAAAATAGTTTTACAGATCTTTTTCCAAAAGGATATTTAGAGGATGAGGAGAAATAGTTTCTGCTGGAGTCTCTTCTAGGTATGATGTTATTGACTTTTTTTGCAGTTGTTCATCTTCTGCAAAAGTATGATTAGTCACATGATTCTGATGAACTAGCCAATTGGTAGTTTAGTGCGGTGTCTTTTTAGAGGCCAAGGAAAGGCTCAATTTAGAGATACTGGAAATGTTGGAAGCTATAGAGTATACCTGAAGGAAGCTAATTGTATGGTATTGTATTGACTTTGGTGATAACTGGTAGGTTGTGTTGGAAACAAAACAATGCAATTAGAAAAGAATGGAAGACTTCACAGTAGGAAACTGGAGCAGCGGTGACCTTCATAGATCAGGGAAAATCAAACAAAAGTTGCTTCAGAGTTTTTGCATTAGAAGCAAATCAGAAGAAAATCAAGATATGATAGATGGGCTGTGGAGCAGAGGGTAGAATGAGAGGATACATCAACCTCCTCTGCAAAACAGTAGAAAATAAGTAACTACTTATTCACTCATCTGTAAGTATACTAATAAATATTTCCACCAGAACAGATAAGTTCCGCAGCCTGAACTAGGTTACCTTGTAAGACAGACTATTTTGAACTACTTCTGTTTAAATGAAAAGAGAAAAATAAATATTTGAAAACTGACAGAAGGAAGGAATATTTGGAACAAAAGAAATGCACATCATACTTATAAATTTGAGGACTAGAATTCAAAAGCAGTGAATCTAAACTTCAGTGCATTACAGGTTGTTGTGTTCGTGGTATGTGGGTATGACTTATCTTGCACAAATACCACTGTCTGGAGAGACATAAGCTAGTTCTGTAATGAGCTAATGTAAGTATTTGTAGTTAGTGTGGTACTTGGCCCTATATAATAAATCTGGCTGAGAAGCAGGACTTGTTATACTTTTATATCACTATCCGTTTGATTACAGTCTCATATCAACCTGGTATTTCACAAGCAAACAGGATCATCCATTATGTGATAATTAAAATTTAGTCAAGTTATTTCTCTCTCTTAATCCAGTTACCACAATGCTAATGCCCATAATCTGAATCACCAAATTTCAGTTAATGATAATTAATTAAAAAAAAAAAAAGAAAAAAAAAAAGCCATGCACAGAAACCCTTGCCAATGTATCCAGTGTTTTCACTCTTCAAAAGCTTGTTTAAAGGGCGATGTCGTAATCCCAGGTTTTCTGTCCTGTATTTGTACTCTTCTCTTTCCATTAGCCTAAGAAGTTAGTCATGCCATGGTACCTTTTGTTTAGTGTGTTAGTCCTTCTCTGTATGTGCTATGTTTTGTTTTGTTTTGTTTTCTTTTCTTTTTGAAGAAGAGGAGAACTGCACAGTTACACAAAGCTAAGCAATGCTGAAACTACAATAAGTTAGGCACCAGTCATAGATAAAAAGCTCAAGACTACAGGACTGATAGCTGACCTGACCACTGTGTAATTTGCTTTAATAGGTAGGATAAATGAGACAGTGGTATATCCTAGAATATGTTGCATAAGATGCAGCAAAAGTTTCTTAAATAATTTTTGCTGATACAACTATATCAAGCTAAAATTAGACAAGGTATGACATATCCTAAGACTTAAAGAATAGTTAGTTACTGAAACAAAGCTTTCTCTGAAGTCATGTTGAAAACTTGTCACAGGTGCAGTTTGCTTAGTGTCTTAGTTACTGAAATAGCTTATAAAGCATATGATTATATTTTTTTAAAATGCTTCAGAAAACCCTGCTGGCAAATTCAGGCTTTGCTAAGTAACAAAATTACTTCAGATGTCAGCCCAACATGCACATTGCATTAGGGGTGCCTTTCTTAGTAAAGGGAAGGGAATTTCTCTAAAGAGCTATATTATGAAGACAAATGGATGAACAAAGCAGGAAGATATCTCACTGGCAGCAGCCTGTACTACACCATTCATATTTTGCTATTTTATTAATTATTACTGGATATACTTTGGTACTATGAAGCAGTTCAAACTGAAAAAAAAACTTCAGTGTTACTGCTGCTGCCATTTTTCCCTGTTATTCTTATAAATTCAGTGGTTATTCAATACAGTAAGCAAAAAATGTGATGCAATGTCTTTTAGTGTCATATTACTTTTCTAGATCACTACTTATCAAGCCCAGCTTCAATTTCAGCCTAGATAGTGACAAGTGATCACTCAGCTCTAATAATGTACTTCTGACATTAACCATACCTGAGTAGTTTTAATACTAACAGTATCAGCAAATCAAGCTTTTCTGAACTTATAATCGGCTTTCTGTACTAGTTTGTAGGATTACAGTTAGAGGATGAGAGCTGGCAGCATTGAAAAATGTTAACTCTAGCCATGTAAAACATCATGGCCCTTAACAGGGACTGGAATGAAATGGAAGGTAGTCAGCATTAGAGAGATTGTGTTAGTATAATACGTTTTCGAAAGAAATCTAGTTGGGCCTTGTCAGACCTAACAATTCCCTTTTACGAATTCAAATGTGAAATCACAGCTTCCTTAATTAGATTTATATTTGGCAAAAATAAAACCAGAAATTTACCCTTTTACACTATTATATCAGTTTTAATGTCTATTATTATGTGCGTGAAAATTATGCTGTGAAAAATGAAAAGATTATGCTGTGAAAAATGAAAAGTCATGCATTTGCAGCTGATACTCCAAGGATTAAGACAGATGTTTGTAGGGGCAAATGTTAATGTCTTAATGTCTTTCCAGAAACTGTAGTAGACTCTGTATGGTAAAGATAGGGCAGTCAAGAGATTCCAGTATTTACCTGTGAGGCCCATCTGCAGTTTCTTAGAAACAAATTCAGCAAAATGGACATCAGAATCAGCTATGTGCTCTGATCCTTATATCATATAAAAGGAGGAATAGTTCTTCTGTCCAGGAGATCTTTGTATAACTGTAACTTCAGAGGCCTTTCATGATTTGTGTGTTTTTCCAGCCTAGAAAAATGTCAGGTTTTTTTCTTTTCACACTAAAAACATCCATTTGGCCTCCACATCACAGGGAATATACCTGCACGGTTAGAGGAAAATTATCTAATCATGTAACAATATGGCAAGGCTGCTGCTTTGAAAGCTGTGTAAACTTCTTTCTGCAAGTATGGATTTATATGAGCTTAGATGCCAACTTGAGAATCATCTAATACGAAGGCTGTTCCAAAGCAGAATTTGCATCAAACTGGCTTTGATTATAAGTAGGACTGGCAGATGGTAATCTTCACCCAGTCATGTAGGCACAACTTTCTGGATGAGATTTACCCCTGGAGCTCTTGCTTCTCTGGATAGCTGAGCTGAGGCCAATAGGATGAAGTTCAACAAGAACAAGTGCTGCGTCCTGCATTTCAGCCACAACAATTTCAGGCAACTCTACAGGCTTGGGGCAGAGTGGCTGGGAGACTGTGTAGAGGAAATGGACTTGGGGGTGTTGACTAATGCTCGGCTGAACATGAGCCAGCAGTGTGCCCAGGTGGCCAAGAGGGCCAATGGCATCCTGTCTTGAATCAGAATAGTATGGCCAGAAGGAGCAGGAAAATTATCACACCTCTGTACTCAGTGTTGGTGAGGCTGTACCTTGAGTACTGTGTTCAGTTCTGTGCCCTTCACTACAGGAAAAACATTGAGGCTCTGGAGCATGTCCAGAGAAGGGCAACAAAGCTGGTGAGGGGTCTGCAGCACAAGTCTTATGAGGAGCAGCTGAAGGAACTGGGATTATTTAGTCTGGATAAAAGGCTCAGGGGTGACCTTATTGCTCTCTACAACAGTCTGAAAGGAGGATGTGGTGAGGTGAGGGATTGGCCTCTTCTCTTGCATAACTAGTGATAGGATGAGAGGGAATGGCTTCAAGCTGTACCAGGGAAAGTTCAGGTAGGATATTAGAAAAAGTTTCATTTCCAAAAGAGTGGTCAGGTGCTGGAATGGGCTGGAGGTGTTCGAGAAACACTGAGATGTGGAACTGAGGGACATCATTTAGTGGGAAGTATTGGTGTAGGTGGGCAGTTGGACTGCATGATCTTGGAGGTCTTTTCCAACCTTGGTTGTTCTATGATTTTAACCTGAGCTTTTTTAAATTATGGTTACTCCTACATATACAATTCATGAATATGCATGGAAAAGCTTAACTTCTGTAAAACTAGAATACCTCTATACTCACTGTAAATTTTCTTTTGTCTTTAGGTTTACTACTGGAAAGTACAGAGTCTATCCAAAAGGACTAAGCGACATGTAGAAAAAAAGATCTTGACTTTCAGGGGAAACAAGACTTTTGGAATGTTACCAGGGCTAGAGCCCTATAGTTCTTACAAGCTGAATGTTAGAGTTGTTAATGGTAAAGGAGAAGGACCAGCAAGCCCAGACAAAATGTTTAAAACTCCTGAAGGAGGTATGAAATGAGAATGAAGATGTTATATATTCAACAATAGAACACTGAGGATACAATTGCTGAATTTTTATCTCGGATATCATAAAATAATAATATGGCTCAATATTGTAATATTCTTAATGATTCACGAGTCGTTTTAAGTTCATCTAATTCGTGTTTCTCATATATTCTTCTTAAAAGTTCCTAGTTCACCCTCCTTTTTGAAGATCACTAATCCAACACTGGATTCTCTGACTCTAGAGTGGGGTTCACCTACCCATCCAAATGGTGTTTTGACATCATACATACTGAAGTTTCAGCCAAGTAAGTTAATTTTGTATATATAGCTCTACCTTTGACAATATGTCCAGCAAACAGTAAATCATTTCTTAAAAGTAACGTTTAATTTATTATGTTCAAAAAGATATAATTGCACTATAGATGTCAAGTTTGAAAAAGATCAATGTATTTTGACAATATATCTGATCTTATTTGAATAATTCTTCTTGTTCAAGTACAAGTTTAGCACTTTTCTATTAGTTTTGTTTCCTCAAACCATGCTTCACAGGAAAATGGAGGTGAAGACCCACAGATAATCAACAGCCAAATCAAAAGCACTTATAAATCCTATGTTCTGACTGCAGAGAAAACATCGTTAGTGGTAGACCAAAATAAATCCAATTATATTGTTGTCTCCCTCTTTAATTTTCACAATATTCTAATTTTAAAATAAAAAATATTGTATGTGCCCTTCATTCATATCAGAAAGATACAGGATTTAAATTAAAATATGCCTGATATCCCTTCAGTCTGTCACTTCCTTAGGATCCACATGCCCAGAAATTAGTCAGCAAGGACACTGGGAATTAGGAATTACATGTGCATGGAACATCTTAAGGCAGATTATTTTCTTTCACTTACCAAATTCCACTGTTCCTTGGCATTAGGTAGAAGACACTTCAGCATTTTTATTTCTAAGCATACTGAATTTATTTCTAAGCAGTTAGTTCAGAGTTTCAGAGGTCTTAATGATTTCTGTTTCAAAAGTGTTTAAATTCAGTTGATGTGCACATAGTGCCTTGGATTCAGGTACTTTACTTAAGAGTATGGAACTTGAGCTTAAGAAACCTATAGGTGTTTCCCATTTCCCTGAGGTGTATAAAGGTGCCTTTCTTTGGAAACTGCATTATCATTCATATAACCTGAATTGAGCAATGCAGCAGGCAAACAAATACAAAAAAAAAAAGTTAAACCTGTTTTAACAGTAGTCAATTTTCCTAACTAATTTCTTTTCTTCTTTCTTTCTTCCTTTTTTTTTTTTTTTTTTTTTTTTCAATAACAGTTAACAACACACATGAATTAGGTCCCTTGGTAGAGATAAGGATACCTGCCAATGAGAGCAGCTTGATATTAAAAAATTTGAATTACAGCACACGATACAAGTTTTACTTTAATGCACAAACATCAGTTGGATCAGGAAGTCAGATAACTGAGGAAGCAGTAACAATTATGGATGAAGGTAAGATGGGTATGTATAAAGAAAACCCACTGAGTTTAAAAAAGACTAGCAATTTGGTTAAAAATATAACTACTGCCTTCCATTACGGAAATAGTCCTTGGTAAAAAATTCTCCAGGGCTCTTTTTATCTGTGTTATACACTATTGAAATATTATATATAGTTTTTAAGAAAAGATGTACAAGTTTCCCTACTGTAATAGAAACCCCAAATGAAGTCCCTTTGTAGTAAATTCACAAGATCTAAGTCTGTGGCTTTCTGGGCTTCAAAATTTCAAGTAACTTCACATCCTAAGTGATCTTTCTCCATTCACCTGTTCTGTTTCAGTCACCTGCTTGGGTCACAGAGAATAATACTGAAATAATGTAGCTTTATGGCTCATTGAGGAAATGTGTCCTCTCTTCTTTAATGCCTGATTTTTTTTCCTATAGAGCTGAAACAAAAAATATAACTTCATAAGGTTGCAGAAATAAATTTGTTATCTCTGGCCCATGTAACTGGTGACACTGTATGTTTAAATAATTACATTATTTGATCCCACCATTATTGCTTTTATGTTTATAACTATTCTAGATCTGGGATTTTGGCAGACATTTAGTTGAAGATGTTCTTTATTATTTATTTAAATATGAAGACTCAAAAATTAAGAGTAATTTCAAACAAAAAGGAAATGTGGGGGGAAGCCTTTTATGATCTCAGTGTTAAAGTTCTACTTTGATACCATCTTTTCACGTAATTTTAGGGTTAGTGAAATTGCAATTTATTTCAATTGCTTTAAATGAGTTGGTATGCAATATAGTTTTTCTAATAGTGTATTAAGGTTGCATATAAACTACATGTATTTTAAGCCATGAGTCTTAACAAGCATGACCAATGAAATTTAGTAAATGCATGTATATTAATTTTTGTCCTGTAATAGTCTGTCAGTGTTCAGCATAAGTGGATTGTTTCTAATTTATTTGAATTAATACATTTTTTCTAGTCTGCATGCTTTTCTGGTTTATAATAAAATGAGATATGTATGTTCCCTTTGGTGTTTTACCTAATTATATAGTGTTCCTATTCTTGTTTTCCTCCATTTAAGCCGGTATTCTTCGTCCTGCTGTAGGTGCAGGCAAAGGTAAAATAAAACTGCATGATTTGTTAATGTGTGGGTTTTGCAGTGCTTAAAATGGGGAAATTGCAGGGGTCAGGATAGAAAATCTTGAACTACACATCATTATACAGAGTATTAATCAGTGTTGGAAGAAAATATTTCTGTCTAGGAAAAAAAAAATAAAGGGAATCTAGAATGCTTATTAATACCTTTCATCTGCTTATTTTGCCACAGAGTTCCAGGGGAATTCATTAGCTTTGCTTCAGCAAAGTCTAATTATTTCTGAACATATAACAGATGTATCTCACAGTCATAAATATTCAGGGTCCAGGTGCACTAGCACTGATGAACTGGAGTAGAAAAAACAGCACATCTACAAAGGAGATTTTTACTGCCTGTGCCCTGTGCGTTTTTTGTTTTAAGAAAGTAGGTGCACTCTCTTTCTCACTGCTGATTGGTGCTATCCATTTGATCACATTTATTTCATTTACAAACAACTGCGTTGGAGACAGATGAGTGACAATACCTTCTATATACTTCTCAGTTCAAGCGTCAGATTGAATAGAGGCAGGTGACTTCCTCCTCTATTAGGTTCACAAATCTTTTGAGTGAATGCCTGAAGTGAGTGGAACATTCCATGATCCTTATTCTTGAATTCAGTAATTCTCGGTTCTTTATAATGTGGTTCTTCTGTCAAACAAGGTATTCTTCACCCAATTTTTATGAATAGGGTGTTTCTACACCTGTGTGTCATCACAGGATTGTCATTAACACATACAAACATCTGTGTTTCAGATTCTCAGACCATAAAAATCCCAAGTCAAAATCTCTGTGAAGGTTTCCATCATTTTTCACAAACTTGGAAGAGACAGCATTAATTGTTTTACATATATTTTCTTTCCACTTGTTGATTAGGTGCTTTAACAATGATATGACCATGAAAATAGCCACTCATTCACCTCATTCAATCAGACTGGTGTAAGAAAAGTCAGACTATATTTATATGCATGCAGTTGTGCATTTATATATTGCACGAATATATGTATATATAACTGCTTTCTAATATCAGATGCACTTCTGGTAAGTTATGGAGTTTTAGATTTATTTTAATGAAAAGTCTTTATTACCGTTTTTTAGTCTAGTTATAGCTGGGAGGCAACACAATTTGGAACAATGAAAATGGCTTGTAGTCCTGGACACAGCCCCAGAAATGTAAATTAAGTTCTCATTATTTATAACTGAGCACAAAAACTCATGCAAGGAAAAATAGATTCTCTGTGTGAAATTGCAGTCTAATTATAGCTGTTCCACCGTCTGTGGCAAGCAGAAAGCATCTTATTTGTATGATCAGCTGGAGCAGCTCGCATTTCAGAGCTGTCATCTCAGATTCTCCAAAAACTTAAGCAGATGGCTTCGTTTGGTTTCATGCTGTTTATGGTTTCAAAGTTTTCACATATCCCTGTTGCATCTAGCTCTTACAATTGCAAAGAAAACTTTGGAACTGCAAACAGGACAGAGCTAAAGCCATGACATCTGTTAGGATATCTGAGTTGCACCAGCTTTGAGATAAATGTTCCCAGTGGTTACTTACATTAACACGATTAACTCTGTCACTATAAGGAAGGAAAAAGAGGATCATATTATCAAGATCAAGTGCCAAATTATTTGATCCTGTGAGTGGGTGGATTTGGAAAACAGAAATACTCAGCCCACACTGAGAAGCAGTGAATTTTTACTCCTCCATTAAGTGCAGAAGGGCCTATTCGTAGATACAATTCTTACTGATGGGTTCCACAGCCAAACCAAGGAGAATGTGAAATTTAGGTATTCTCAACTGTTTTGTGATCTATCAAAAACAACATCTCAACTTTGCATTTTGAATCACAAGAGTTACCAGAAAAATGCGTATAGCCTTTCTTTTTCAATTTGAACTCTTTTAACTTGGAAGTTAAGAAAACAGTAGGTCCCAGATTCAGGCAGCCTAAATTGCAGGGAAAATTTTGAAGTATGTGTTTCGTACTGGTCAGCTGCCCCAGATCAGTCAGAAGCATTGGACACAAGGTCCTAGAGGAATTCAGAATGTCTGAACCCAGAAAAGGTGTACAATTTGGGACTTATTCCACTTCTCAGAGTATATGTATTGTGTGGAGGAAAATAATGCTACAGTATTTCTAGGGATTCAGGTATTTTATTGTCGGCCTGAAATATATTTGCTGTTTTTTGCAATCTTTCTAGACAGTCGTGGGCCCTTTGTTGTACTGAGGTCTTTTATCACTAAAAAAAAAAAAAAAGACCAAAGACTGCTTACTGCTACATTTTCAACATTTGTCCCATCTGAGTTTGTCTGATCATAATGACTTCAATGACGCTAAATGTTTTAAAGTATTTTCTAGATTAATAAGTTTTGAAACAAGCCTTTCTACCTTTTCCCTATAAGGTAAAATAACAGTTTCAGAAGAAAAGATAAAAGGTCAAAGATAAGAGATTGGATAAAGGAATCTTTTTATTTTTTCTGATTCATTTACTGAATAGATATATGCTGATTGAATTGGACATAGAAGTACATAACACTGAAGCAAATGGGAGGCAATATAGAGAAGAATTTGTCTCCTAGCAATAAGGGCACTATCCTAATCAAAATGTTCACTGGACAAATAGTGTCATTGCATCAAATAGACAAAATCCTTAGTGAATTACAAAACCTGAAGTTTTATTCTCCTCCAAAGGGAAACTTAACAAGATTTGTGTCTCTATTGCACAAGCTCAGATGAGTGAATCATTAAAGAGATTATTGTATTGTGAATAAGAAAGATACCATGTTGTATAATTCATACTCAGTTTGACTTGTGCTGTCTTTTTTCCTGTCTAATAGTGCAGTACTATGCATGGCATATTTAATCAAATTATGGCATTACAAAGAAAGGTTGTTTATCTTTTTAGCAAATTGTTCTAAGTGTGTGAGTCTGAAAACTGCCTAAAACACCACATATTATACCCAGTATTAGGTAAGCAGTGAGGATTGCTATTGCCATCCGTTTGTTGGCATCTACATCTATAATTTAAAAGCAAATTCTTGTGCTCTGTGTGCACACAGACACCGATAACTAGCAGTTCTGAACTGCAATGAAAGTAAAGTTGGGAGCTTTAATTGAAACGAATGCTTCCTGTCAATGTGGTACTTCTGTCTGGTCTGCCTTCTTCATGTGAGCTTTGCATCTCAAGAATTAGTGATACTTTTGTGAAAGGAAGAAAACAAGTAGATCAGCCTCTGAGTCTGAAACTTCGCTTTTCTTCTGTTTGTAGTTCTTCAAGTTAGAAATCATTCTCAGCTGAGCTTGTAAATGATGTATTTGTAGAAGACAGGATCTTCTCAATTTTCTTTGTTCCATACAAAATGCTTTTGTTTAAATCATTTTCCCTACCCGCCATCTGTTTTACCTCCCTTTTTGAATCGTTTCTCATCATGTTTCTATATTTTTTCTGTAACAAATTCAAGCTGTTTTTTCTCTTCACATGAATTACAGTGTTTTTGTATGGCTTACATACACTTAAATCACTCTCTGTGGCCTGCTCCATGGTACATATAGTGATTCTTTCATTTTAGTTTGCTAAACAGTACTACTGTTTTGTCTTCTTTTAAGTCTACCATGAAAAATGCCTATGCTATAGATGCTGGAGTAGAGAAAACAATGATCACTGCAGTGTAAAAATTCCTGCAAATACCTTCTGCTTTGTAGACTTCAGAGAAAGTCTGTGCATGCTTGAAGTTTATCAGTGAAACTATTTTGTGCATTTCTTCTTTGTCTTTTATATTTCATACACTGTAGGAAGGTGCTTGTAATGGTTTAAATAGCCTCAGACTGAAAGACAGATTAATGCCTGTCTTTCAGTTCCAGAAATGGAATT